ATAATTTCGATGGTCGGGGGGCAGACACCGTCACTATAGGATTTTCACTAAGTTACTCCTGAAATGGAGAAGCAGAGAAGTGTGTTAGACTGCGACTCTGCGTAGGGTTTTGGGTGGGTAACTGCTGAATTAGAAGGGCAGAGAAGTGTGTTAGACTGCGAATTTGCCTCCTGGTCTCAACTCTGGGTTGTCATGGATTTGGTCCACTAATAAACTTGGCCAGATTTCTAGAAATGAGAGCTGCTCCTTCCCAAGTGGGATGGATGCCGTCTCTCCGAATCAGATCAGGTCTTCCCTAGAAGGTCTGCCAATGATCTACAAAGCCCACATCGTTTGCTGGACACCACCTCGACAACCAGCGGCGGAATGACGACATGCCACAGATTTGGCAGGGGTCCAAAGAAAACTACGGTGTCCTGCATTGTTTTTGCATATGTACACACCAACTCAGCATTAATCTTAGTGACCTCCGATTGGCGTAACCGGGAGTCATTACCGCCAACGTGAATAACAATCTTACTGTATTTACATTTATCCTTAGCCAGCAGTTTCAAATAAGACTCAATGTCGCCCGCTCTGGCCCCAGGGATGCACTTAACTATGGCCGCTGGCTTTGCTAACTTCACGTTTCTCAAAATGGAGCTGCCAATGATCAGAGTTGGTTTCTCAGCGGGTGTGTCGCTGAGTGGGGAAAATCTGTTGGAGATGTGAACAGGTTGATGGTGCCCCGTGGGCTTTGAATGCTCACGACTATTCCTCCTTTGGACAGTCACCCAGCCACCCCTTCCTGGCTGCACAGGAGATGCCGGGGGACGGCTACCAGACGCTAACTCAGGCCGTTCCGCACTGACTACCGGGGACTGGCTAGCTACAGTAGCTAAAAACTGATCTACCAAGGTGCGGAGCCTCGCCTCCATGTCTATAAATAAACTACACTTATTACGCGTACCATTACCGCTAAAGGAGGCAGAGGAGTAACTGAACATCTGACACACCGAGCAGGAGAGAGGGAGAAGGAGAAGCCATCGCTAGCTGCTAAGCTAAAGTCGCTAACGGCTAAGCTAAAGTACTGTAGCGTCAGCTACCAAAACTTTTGAACAACTATGAGACTGAACAGCAGTCACTAAAAGATGGAAAGAACTGTGAGTGCTTAGGCAAAATTACTGTAAGAATAAGTATTTAGCAGACAGTTGGCCGCTGTAATCTAACAAATGTAACTGGTATTTAGCGAGAGCAGCACAACACGTTACCAACACACAAGCACCGGAAACGGAAATGAGTCGACACGCTTACCGCAGTACGTCAGCAACTCATATGTGTTGTACGCTCTGCTCTTGAGCTACAGAGTGATGCATCTTACATGTACAAAATCTTTGTTGGAAGTTGCACATGCGCAGTTCCCTGGTAAGGACTACTAGCCAATCAGAAGCAGAGAAGGGCGGGTCGTAAGAAACAAGGTAGTGTAAAAAAAGTCCACAACCACACAACATCATTGTTCCACATCTTACCATAAACCACTACAAAAATCACCATATTTCAACTCTATTTTACGTAAAAATTGGCCAAACAATTTGAACATTTGTTCAGTAGCTTTCACATGGGGTTTAACATTAGCATTATAGCTATAACTTTAGCTGTGTTAGCCAACGTTTACAACAACTCCGCACTTGAACATTCTGTGAAGTTACATTGCCGTGTTTATTTTAAATATAATTCGCAACCAATAAAGCATACTTACAGGTTGTGATTGTGAATTTCCAGGCCCAAACAGAGTCGGAGTTGTATCGTCTTTTAGGACTAAACGTTGAACTGTTGCAGGTGTTTTGACGATCTATGCTGCCTTGCCGAAAAATGCTACCATAGCGCAAATCGATATACTCGACTCTACTCGGGAGAAGGATCCAGCTGCAGCCCGCAGACAAACCATAGACTGTATATAAAAACCAGACAAACGTGACGGAAGTTGACGGAAGTTGAACTTCCATATATGGGTTGTCCCAGAAGCCACCGCGCACAAAACCTGATGACGTTTATCTCGACCGCTCGGTCCACGCATAGTTGTTAAATTAAAAAAAGGTGTGTCAACGTAGTAATCACTGTACGTTATGTGTTAATATTTACTATACTATACTTATATATTTATACTATAATTCCTGCAAATACTTATTTATAATAGCCTAATGATAATAATAAGGCAATGTTTCAATTCATACCACTGTTGTATATTTTATTTTTTCCAAAGTAATTTTAAGTTTCACAAACCAAGAATATTCTGTAATGTTACATCACGAGCCAGATGTGTCTCGATTTAGGTTAAAACTTAACATTACTGAGAATTTATCGACAGAATAACAATGGTACGAACAGCTGTTGCTGGACATGTCTGCTGTGTTGGCTGCAGTGGTCTGTGTGACTGGGCCTGGGGGAGCTAACCGTAGCTAGCTAGCTATTCCTGACAGTCCCCGAAGTATATTCCTCTTACACCCAACCAGGGTATGTGCCTAAATTGATTGCCTATTATTGATTATATGCATGTCGACCGGTTAACCCTAACTGCTAGCAGATAGGGTTAACCTCCATTGTTTTGCTGTGCAGCCTCCGGTAACGTTACTGCAGCTATATAACACCTGTCGGCACTTGCGGAGCTTCTCAACTCCGAAAACGTTTGAACACATTTTTGATTTGCTGCCAATTTTCGTAAAACTGCCGATCTTCGAAATCTACACAGTTGATTTCTCGTCTACACCAGGGTTGAGAAGCCGTCATTGAACAGGGGAGGGGGTCTACGCCACCACTTATCCCCCACTTACAAAGCTGTCCTTTCGTCACTTCCCAGGAAACTCAACAAACGTAACCTATTGGCCTCAGGTGAAGATGCCAACGATGGTCGTTCAGTCTTGGCCAACGACCCCACTGAGGTTAAATAGCTGAGTTTCCCTGCCAGTCAGTCAGAACTGAAGAAGTCCTTTGGATGAGGGATGAAACGTCTTCCAGTATCTTCAACCAAGTCCAGTTGCCCTTGATTTTAACCTTCGTTGGATAACTATGACCTGGATGACTGAGAATCTTCATAGACATATTTGGAAGTTCAACTTCCGTCAACTTCCGTCACGGTCTGCAGGCTGCAGCTGGATATTGCTACTCGGCCCTGCTCCGTTTTCCATTGCAGAAAGTACGTAGCTTGTCGTCATAGCGCACCACACACAACTGCCGCGACGTAATGTTCAATTCCAGCGATCCACACAGCTTTCTCTTTTTTAAATTAAAATGTTTCAACTTTACTCAGAATGTAAAGACAGATAAGCGGTATGAAAACCTTCCAGCTGTATTTTCCTCTGCCGTTGTTGCTACAGTGGTCTGTGTGACGGCGGGAGCAGAGGGTTCTGTGAACGTCCCTCACCAACTCGCTGACAAATTTTATGCCTGCGCCTTCCAATGCCATCTAATTAACTGTGTGTCGTCAAATAATTCAGAAGTTCTTCCTCTCCTAAAATATTCGCGCATGTCTCTGTCTCCACAGTGCCATCACCAGCCCTACTGGCAGCTCCTAACCAGTTGAGAGACCTCTTGAGCTGTCTTAATTAACTGGGAGAGTAAGAGTGATTCTCAGCTTTAAGAAATTTGATAACTTGCTTTTATTCTTAAGTTTTGTTCTTAAGTAGGAGTAAATTTCATGAATTCTCAGAACTTAAGACTAAAATGTCACTATGAATACCGGCCCTGGCTTCACTAACCCTAACAATCGCGAACACGCTAAGCGTTCGCATGATGCTGGTTGTCAACTCGGTAAGTTAACACAGAGGTTCCCAATGCCATGAGCCATGAGCACGTTTACATCAAAGAGGCCAGTGTTGCAGTGTATGACAAGTCTACTGGCAGCAGAGAGGCAAAGGGTGCTCATAGAGGGGCGAAAGACTGTATCTCCATCATGACTTCAGTTCCCAATATTTACTGAAAACTCACCCACATTACCTACACCAAATAGCAAAAGGTGGGACGGTACATGACCAGTCTCTATAATACAAGAAACAAATGCAACCGAAAGTTAAAATAAACAAATTCATATTAAACTTAACTTGTTTACCAGAATGTAGGCTCATGATATTTGGTCAACATAAAAATAATAGTTTAGTGCTTCAATCAGTCTCAATGTTGTAGTATGATGTTGGTATACAAGAACATCTCCATATTTCCCACAGCATAAAAGAATCCTATAAAACAGTCTGCGGGATCTTCTACGAATAGTGATCTCATTTCCAAAAGAACTGATTGGTCAGTAGGAAGTGCTTTTACAGCGTTGATCTCTTATCTCCTGAATAATCTGCTCAGTACTCTGCCTCATTCAGCATAGTTTACTATAGTGGTAAGAAGTGAACTACCGACCTAGGACTGAAAACCAAGTGTTAATCCAGAAGTAGCCCTGCAAACATCAAACCCTGCTTTGTGGTATAGGCCCCATCTTAGATAAAATTGTGATGGGTATTTTTTGTATTTTCTGACATTTTACAAAACTAAACAATTACTTAATTAACTTAAACATTGAAAAGCATTTTAATCAACAATGAAAAGCTAGTTGTTGCTGCTCTATTATATATCCTCCTGTATAAAGTATATTCAACAACCTTAATCAAACAAAGCCCAACAGACGGTATTCTGTTTGTGCAAGGTGTTACCTTATTAAACAGGAAAGATGCACCCCTACCAGTTGTGTTCAGTGGGACAAAAGGTTTTTAAATTCTACAATCATCTACAATGCTACCAGTAGTTTACCAGTTACCAGTCCCCTGAATGGAAACACATGTATCAATATGTGTCCATGGCTGCAGACTATTTGATAGTAGTTAATAGCAGTTATTTATTTACTGTTATTGTTATTTATTTGTTATTTCATATATGAATAGTTGTTTATTTGGCATTCATTCAGCCTGTATGTCCCTCAATACTTCACCAAATAATGCACAGGTAAGAGTCAAAGTCTCCTCCACTTTTTTTTTCATCAGGGTGGATCTCTGTTATGTACCTGCCTCTGCCCTGCTAGGTAAAGTAAAAATCACCATCTCTGGGTTGAGAAACGTGGGAACCAGTTGTGTAAATTGAAGTGACTAGGATGTAACCTCAGTTCCAGAGTAGCCCTCTGATGGGCCTGATAGATCTACCACCAAATCAGGTGGTATGGTATGTACTATAATTGAGTTAATTGAGTGGTAAGCCTGCCGTTTAGCTCGTTTTGAATAAGACATAAAGGAAATAAAAGTACTGTGCTCTTAAATAAAGTAGCATACAGATAAAATAGATGTTGCTAACCAGCACTTCTTCTCTTAACAAGCTTGAGAAAATACTGTAATTCAAAGGATGTCACACTAACATTTTACTTGTATTATTTCTAGAAAGACGTCCAGTTCCAGTCAACCTGTAACCTGTGCAGAGAGAGCCACAAAACTCAGGTCTGGCTTTGTTTCTTAGTTCTGAGGTAGGCATACAGTGTGTGACTTGTTTGTCTCAAAGTGAAATATTGGTTATCATACTTATAAATGATGAAATGTTTCTATGATCAATAATGTAGCTGGGAAAAAACACACAACCAAATATAGTACAGGTCAAGTCAGATATTCTGCAATATTCATAAGAGAAAATGTTAAAATATTAACAACAAAGTATACTTTTTGTTTATAGCTATAAGAAATGGAAAAAGGAGTGCGTCATAATCATTAGATCTTTGAAACTGAGAACCCCCCCCACCCACACACAGACACACACAAGAAAATCCTATGACTTGATTGTCCATACAACCATTAATAACATGTTAATACTGGCAAAGTTTACACAGATGGGAATGACTTATCTACATATCATCTTCATAAAGTGTCAGCGAGATACAACTTGTAGCTAAGTAAGTTGCATAAAGTAATAGTGCGTCAGTAAAATATACAGTAGTTGCTTTCACAGTCACTGTCAAAACATCAAAGAGATATCCGCATTCTCATAAATAATATGTATTGTAATCATTGTCTCTTCACTCTCTTAAAGCTTATTGAGTACATCTATGTATGCTGCTTCTGTGCCTGGTACAGACATTGTACAGACTTGCTTGGAGAAGCTAAAACACACCATTGAGGTGAGAGAAGGTCTCACGTAAAATAAAATTTGGTGTTTGGTCTTATGTTAAAAGTATTTGTTTCATACTCTTGAAACCATCCTATCTTTAAGTGCATTGATACTTTGTTGTCTCTTTCCTGTAGTGTACTCATTTATGTATTGGTGTATTCAATTATTCAAAACCTTACTTTGTCTAAGTTTATTGATTATTTTTCAGAAATCTGACGCTATGCTGTATGCTCCATCAAGGAATGACTATCACGTGAGTACATCTTAAAATTTTGGTTTTGATTTCAATAAGGAAAAAGAAAACACTTGAGTAAAGTATGAAATTCAAAGTATAAAGCATGTACTGTTTTACACTGACATTAGCTTACAGATACGTATCTATTTATTGTGCAGCACAGTAATTATCTAGGTAAGAAAACAGTGGTACTATTAAAAGGAATTCAGATTATGTCTTGATTTTTGAGCATGGTATGCCATGACAAAGCTACAAAAACATGGGAATTCTTGTTTTTAACTGTTAACGTAATAGATCTGCAGCTGTATGAGTCCATACTGAGGCATTTCTTTCTCTTTTAGGGGAACTGTAAAAATATGACTCTCAAATGTTACATGTTGGAGTTGATAATGGTCCTCAATGAAGAAGAAATTGTGGATAATAAAGTAGACTGCATCCTTGATTTCAATGCAAAACTGCTTGAAGATCAATCAGATCAGCACAATGTAAGTCCTGTTTACAAAATCCTCCCTGGAGTGTACTGCTCATGCTTTCTTTTTTTAAACTACCTGTCATTCTTTGGGTTCTCATTGGCTTATCATACTTTATTATTTTTATTGCTATTCTCACTCAACTCTACTGCACTGCTTTATTCACTCAAGTGCAATGTACTACATTACACAATGCTTCACTGTTAATTTTTATTTGTATGTTCAATCTTTTTTTAAATGATATGTAATCATATTTAAAATATGTTTTATTGTGTCTCTTTTGAATTTTAGACTGGCTGTCTACCATGCGAAGCACACTCACTTAAAAATATTACAATATTCCTGGAAAGACTAAAAACCCTTTTGGAAGAAATAACTACGGAGGGAAACTCTTAACACGCAATATGATGTAAATACTGTAAGCTACAAATGTGTATTTGTATATATTTGTAAAGAATTGTGGCTCTGTTTTGATTGTGTAAATATCACATAACATTTTGAATGTATAGGATGACAGTACTGTGTTTACCTATGCAGATTAAGCCTCTCAGTCACTGTGCCTCACAATCATCCTTTAAGTTGTACAGGTTTGAAAGATGTATCAGGAAGTAGCATACAGTAGCAGCATGTACTGTGCAGTATATACAGAATGTGGGAAGAATGTAAATATGGGCCTTTTTGCTTTTATTTTGATAGTGGAGCCGGAGATAGACATCAAAGTATTTTGATAATGTAGCTGGAGATAGACAGGAAGGGGGGAGAGAGAGGGGGTGACGTGCAGAAAAGGGCCACAGGCTGGATTCATTCAAACCCAGATGCAGTAAGGACTCAGCCTTGGATCACTGCTAAACACTAATGAATGTAATACCTATTACACAGTAAATGGCTAATGAACTCCAGTATCTTGAGAACAGTTACTCACTCCAGTAAATAATATCCAAACTGTATATAATCTTTCATTTTATTTCTTTTATCTGTCTTTTATTGTGCCATACCATTAAGTGTTTGTTAAAGGTGCTCATTAGAGTTTGTTGGTAAACAGTTAATGTTTACTGTTAGTATTAGAGGACATTCAGCCTGAATACTGCCTTGTGTTAAAATAGCACAAGCAGCTGTGTTGGTAGGGGTGTGTTACTTCATTTACCAGTGAGACATAAAATATGATACTGAAAGGACAGTTTTTAGTTAACAGTTATCAGTTATCAGACACCAACACAGAAAGTTTTCACGGTGGCAATGGTGGTGTCTTTAGTTGCGACAATCATGTGGTAAACCATAGAAATATAGCGTTCATGTTACAGTATAATCTGCCAGGAATGCATGCTTGGATGTATTTATTGGCCAACGCAGTTACTTGTCAGATGATGTAGAATTGCAGACCGGCAAGGCTGGTTTCTTTGGTGAAGCCCCCTGCGTCCGCTTTCAAAAGAATAAGGAAGCTGTGTTTTTTTAACAAGGGCTAACAAACATGCTGAGAGCAGATCCTTCCTCATAAAATACTTGCAAAGCACTTTTTAAAAAAAAAAATTAAAATTGTGCATTTGTGACATCCATATGTGTTTGCTTCACTGCCTTTGATGGCACATTGGTACAGTATGTTTGTAGCTTGAGACCGACATCAGGATGTGAATCGCCACGGCCTCACGTTTGCATAATGTAAACAAAACGTTAAACCACACATGCTTGCTCCATAGCACTACTCAGGGTCAAAAGCTCCACAGGGTATCTTTAAATAAAGCAAAATGATGATATTCTACTCACTTGTGGAAAGTGTTCACCGGTCTCATCATGTGATGCTCTGTTTGGAATTTGACACTAGAAAAATGAAATAAAAGTTTGCCAAAACTACTTCAATTCAAGATCTCAATATCATTATCAAGATCTGTGAGGAGATCCTTGACATTGACCAGGCCAGAAGAATACTCCAGAGTCAAAGGACAACGCTGATAATGATCAAGGTAGCACTGTGTAGTACTATCACGGTGTGGTCAGTGTTTTACTGCTTAAGGGAGGATTGTTTGAACATACTGAGCATACCGATCAATGGCAGAGAAATTATGAGCTTCAGGAGTGGTTTTGGGGAGTTTTTCTGAATGTTTTGATGCATTTTGACCAAAAACATTTTGCCGTGACCCTGGGTCTCCACTGGAGTCCAATGTTACTGCTGTGAACTGAAACTGACAACAGCTGTTGTTCGCCATGGAGCATGTGACAAAGGTATCAGAGCCACCTTTTAAGACTACAGACCGCAAGTATTTGATACTTGGAAAAAACCTTCATCTCTTTCAGTGATTTACTTTATTATATGCAAGTTGACCCCGAAAATAATATATGCTTTTAATGCAACAAGGATTAAACTATGACTCATGTATTTATCTGTAGTAGTTTACTTACTTGTTCAAACACACCTGTGAAATTGAATATAAATAGTCTGCAAAACAAGGCACATATATCATTATACAATTACAGATTTCCACATTAAATCATTATTTATTTAATTTTAAATAGACAATTGTAAATGTCCAATGTACAACACAACAAATACATTTTAAACATGCATTAGTCCAAGGTATCAACCCTTAGAATATAAAATAATTTTAGAATACAAAAATAAATAATGGAATTTATTATATAGCATTTAGGAATGATGGCCCAATATCCATCATCCTCTTTTAATTTCCTGGACAGTACTTCATGTGGTTTTCACAGGCCTGTACCTTGAGATATAAAAATATTATGGAAAAAGCTCAAGTGCAACCATTAAGAGAATGGGGTGAGTTGTCAAAAGGAAACAGGATTCAACATATGCTTTATAATACTGGTATGTAACTTCTGATTATTCACAGAGGACAGTTGGGTTTGAATAAATGAAAATACGTCTGCAACAGTCAAAAACAACATAGGGAAAGTTTGGACCTGGATATGTAATGCCATGAAAATGTATACATCCACTGCAAAAGAACTGCAGAAAGGAATGAACACTTTTAGTTTTGAATCTGGCACTTTCATCTGGCAAAGCTCTGCACAGCCAAATGTGAAATTATGCTGTTTCCAGTGTGGGAGGGCAGTATTTATACCACAAAAACCACTGTAGCATGGAAGTTCCTTCTTGAACATTGAAACAGACTATTTCACAAAAAATAGCCTCAACTCCAACGCTTGCTAGTTAGCCCTTTTTGTTAAAGCTTTAAACTGCGTCTCACAAATGGAGCAAGCTCAGATTCCATCACCTCTCAAAGAGCTCAGAAAAATTTAATTCATGCAAGAGTGGAATTCTTCATGCACACAGACACCTCTAAAAAGATCATGAACATACTGTACAGCCACACACAGAGATTATATACACACTGTGTATTTTCCCTGTTTAGGCCATGAAAAATAAACAATGCAAAAATAGAAAAGTGCATAAACACCTTTTGGGCAAATCCAGCTTAAGTCAGTGAACACATACCAGAGCAACCAAAAAGTAAACAAATAGAAACAAAATGTAACATCCAGAAAGTCTTTTTGGTTACAAAGAATAAAACATTTTACATTTTTGTTTTACGCTTTCATGTTTACTATCTGGGTAACACACAACGACTGGTTTTACATGGCTTATGTCTTCAAGAATCAACTTTGCCGTAAGTCCCCTCTGGCGGTCGGTAGCACTTGGGAAAGGCCATCAGCTGCAACACGTTGAAGGCATATTTCCTGCATTTAATATTCTTTTGAACGTTCTCAATCCGACATCCTTCTCTGGTGATCAAATAAAGAGGGTGAAGAGGAATGAGGGAAGAAAAGAAAGAAAAACAAAAAAGTAAACATGAATGAGTTTTTAAATTATGTTTATAATTATGCCTTGAAAGACTTCCCAAAATACTAATTTATGTTCTTTTTGAGTGAAGTATGTTTTTGACACATTGAAGGCGACACATTTAAGGCTGACAGCAATGACACATTTTATGGCTACCTCGCGGGTTTAGTATAATAAACAGCTTACAGTATGCCAAGTGTATGATAATTATTATATCTGTATGATATTAAGGCCTTATGTATTATGGATAATTGACTTTGGCTTAGCAATATATAATATAATCACATCTCTGCAGAGATCACGAGACAGCCAGTGTTGCTGCTCACAAATTATTATAAACTCTTTGTGACTATATTTCACAACATTTGTTTGTGTTCAGCCATTTTGGTATGCTAAGGCTCAAAGTACATTCATGAGCTTGGAAACAGCTGTCAAAAAGATCCCACGACCTGTGAGTTTTCCACATCTTTTTATTTTCTGTTTTGTTTTGGACGCTTTTACGTATGTTGGGCTACTAGTTTAACTGGAGCTAAGCTAACGTCCTTTCCCCCTCCAACTGCTAATTCATTTGGACGTCTAGATTCACACAAATATCAAACGCATTTTAAATGAAGCTTGCGTGGTTCTCAATGAGCAGATATTTACAGATTTTGTTGGTTTGTTGTTAGTGGTGGTGACACTAATAATCTTCACTCCAAGCTCTTTTAGCTAAGCCTCACTGTTGCTGTCTTTACCTACAGTTTAATTTTCCAAGAGGATTGTGCAAGAGAAAAAACATCAGATCATTTTATATTTAAAAATGTTCTCCTTTTGATTTAAAATGAGAACACTTTGAGATCACATGAGAACCTTCACTGTCAATCCCCAAAACTAGCTCTTTAATTCAGGTTTTAGTACCTTAAAGTGGCTTGACAAGGTATTAACTTGTTTCTGCTAGTCATATATCAAAGATTATATTTATGGGCCAGGAGCCAGAGGGTTAGATTTCCAGACAGATGACAGGCCTGCGATCAGTGTTGCCCTCCAAGATTGTAAGTACTTCAACTGCTTCAAGTATGCTTTATGACAGTTTTGTTTTGTTTTGATATAAGTGATAACTTTAATTTTTAAGGTGAAGGTGCTGGAGCCAAAACAATTGCAAAAAACGGCTTCCCAAATACTTAAAAAAACAATTCAAAATTAAATCCAATACAACACCTCCACCTTATGTATGACCTACAGACACTTCAGACATGTATTCAATAATTAACATTATTTATAATAATTAACATTCAAGCTTCACAGATTGGATTATTACACAAACGCATTTAAATAGCCCATGAAAGAGCACAGTGTAAAGTAGTGAGAAGTGGGACAATCTGAATTCTGGGATACTATTAATAAAGTTGGATGGACTGTGAGATTTTTTTACCAACTTGGAACTTGATCAAGAATTCCTAAAAGGGCCAGTCACAAATCATTAATCAAGAAGTGTGCATAACTGGTACAAGTGGGACAAGGTTTCTGGAACGGTTCTGGTATTTATCCACTAAGTTAATGCTAATTGCCCCTTAAATATTTTGGGTAAGTAGAAGTCTTTAAAGTGGTGAAATGGAAGCACTCTGGGTTTCTGCTAGATACTACAGCATCCTGTAGGAGAACATTTTTTCACTATGTGATTTTATTTTGGCCAAGAAAGAAAGAAAAATATTTACTTCCCTGCATCCTGGTCAATGTCCAAGCATAAAGCAGTGCATAAGCAGATTACACAAGTAAAAGAACAGGAAACTCATTATGTTACTGTTAATGACATCAACAGAGTCTACAGAAGCAGAGAGTGAGCGAGCAAGCTCAATGCACTGCAGCTTAATAAAATTTGAAAGGGGACAAAGCACAAGCAAAAATAGAAAATATGTTCACCTTTTAGAACGTGCTGCATTTTGGAAAAAAAGAAACACTGCAAATTGACGACATGCAATATGTTAAAGTTGACCCCTCATCAATGAAGCTGCAAAATGAGCAAAAGATGATCAAATATGCATCATTTAATTTATCTTGTTACTAATTACTTGCATTTTCATCAGTTTTAAGTGTCCCCCGGAAATCTTGTTGTTGAGTGTATTCTGGTGAATATGGTTTCTCCATATGCTAGGTTCAGGTTGTACCCTCTGCAGGTGTGTGAAAACTTTCTACACTCACATGGACACACAGAGCTCGCCATAATGAAATAAATTGGTAATATTGTTGTGATACAGCTGTTAAGAGGTAGAGAAAGAAAAAAGACTGAAAGAAAGAGGGAGAGAGAACAACAGTATCAACATAGAAAAACTGAAATACAGGTCTAAAGGTCTACATTGGACTAAATAAAATGATAGTGATAGTGACTGATAGATTAGATGTTTCCGGCACATTGAAAACACTGTAGTGTGATTTAGGTGCAAGTCAGTTGTATTGCACAAAATTACAAACAGGCTGAAGTTTAACTCAGCAGTTCAACATCAGTCTGTTCAGCCTGTAATACAGTGCCATATGTGAACATGTGTGTTTGTTATGTGCCGTTTTCTGTTAGTTAACTCAAAATTGCATGTACCACATCAGCTATTTCATGTGATGTTAGAAGTTCTGGGATAATCCTGTCAATTTTCTTAATTTTGTTATCAACAAATCATATGAAAATACTAAAAGCAGTAATTAGTTGATCCTATTAACAAATATTGTTTATGTATCCAAATTGAATATTGCTTATTCTTCTTTGCCATTTCATTACATTGTTGTTAAAAACACATCAGTGAACACTGTTGCACTGGGTGACATGTTCTTTCGTTATGACGAACCCAGGCATGTAGTTTATTTTGAGTCAATAGCACATATATCATCCTGCTGCCACAAATGCTGTGTATTAATCCGCAGCTAAGTAGTCCTCAATAAACAGACTATTTATTCTTGTTTGAGTAACATTTGAAAAAGAACTACAGTGCCCAGCTATTTCAGGAAATTACTGATTTTAATAAATAGAAAATAAATGTACATTTGTGACCTCAGGATTTGTGTTTTTAGTAGGAATTAGTAGAAATGGGTTTGGAGCTGGGTGACACAGACAGGCTAGGGAAGTCAGACAGTACTGATAGAATGACTAATACAAAGTTGTTGTTGACAATTAGTAAAATACAGATTCATACCAGGCTTATCATTAAACCTACAAATGAAGATGTCTGAGATTAACAAAAGAACTTTATTTACAGCATATTGTGTTTGCATTTGGTATGCAGACAGTGTGAACTTTCCAAGGAAAGTTTGTTTTTGTCAGATTTTAAAGAGGTGGTATTATGCTCATTTTCAGGTTCAAAATCTTAATTAGGGCTTGTACCAGAACAGGTTTACATGGTTTAATTTTCAAAACATATTTTTCTCATACTGCACATTGCTGCAGCTCCTCTTTTCACCCTGTGTGTTGTACACTCTGCTCTTGAGCTACAGAGTGATGCAGCTTACTTGTACAATATGTTTGTTGGGAGTTGCACATGCACAGTTCCCAGGTAAGGACTACTAGCCAATCAGAAGCAGAGAAGGGCGGGTCGTAAGAAACAAGGTAATGTGATCCAAAACAAACCCGCTTCAGCTGGTAACCATGGCTTCGGTTCAGCCAAACATGGTTGAACCCAAGTCCGATCCAGAAACAACGGCAGAACAACCAGAACCAGCTTCACAACCTAGACTGGAGCAAGACGTTTCCGAGTGGCAAGTTATTAATCTGTAACACATCATCTTTCATACGTAACGTTTTAACCGAGCTCTGCCTCTACCTTACAGTATCAGCTTAATGTTTACTGACTGCCTGGAGGTTGTCTAACGTTTTTTAATTTCATATTTAGGTGTACTTGTGAAAACTGTTCGACAATGCCCACCGAAGTTGAAAACGTCTGTTGCCAAGAAATACAAACGGTAGTTATATAATCAGTTACAACGTTGTGTAGCAAACATCAACAGTAGCACACACCTAAGGTTATAGGCAATGTTGTTGTGAAGTTACATTGCCGTGTTTATTTTAAATATAATTCGCAACCAATAAAGCATACTTACAGGTTGAGGTTGTGAATGTCCAGGCCCAAACAGAGTCGGAGTTGCATCATCTTTTCAGACTAAACGTTACCCAAATCCGCAGTTGAACTGTTGCCGGTTCAGAAAGCAGTCCTCGGTGAAATGGTTAGAGCACAAGACGAGGTGCTGGTTGTACTTCTGAGAAATCGTGTTAAAAATGAATTTCAACCACTGATTCTTCACAAAGTCATCCTTTGGAAGGCGATGCATAGATGTTTGCCCTCACAACGAAGAATACAGCGTCTCAACATGGCGATTCCACTTACTAAAGTCAAAGGGCCTCCGCTCAGACTAGCTTGATTTGAGGGCATGCCTGACCCACTAGCTACTTGGCAAGCTTTATGACGCGTTTGCATTGTGACGTCACAAGTAAGGAAGTGAAGGGCTGGACTACAAACGAGCTGTTTTCAAGCAGTTCAGAGCAGAGCTTTCTGTGGGAGATGGGAACTCCCTTTGGGCTGGACTCTGGGCTTTTTCACTTTGCAAACCTGTTACATGCACAAAAAAAGATATATAACTCAATAAAGGAGAGGGGAAAAGCCAAAAAGCACAATACCACAACTTTAAGAACCATCTTAGAGTTTGTCAGAGAAGACTCCTGGTAAATCAGGAAAGAGTCAACGTTTAATTGCTGGTTAATTAATACCATCTGATTGAAATCAATTGTACCCAATCCTCTACTATTTCTCAGAGATTAGCACCCCACAAGACTGAGTTCAATATAAACCACTCGCACTAATCACCCTTATACAAGAAAGCCAATCAAATCACACTACCACCCCTAACAAAGGAATAACCAACACACACACAGAAAAAAGGAGTGAGTAGAGATGGCATTGTCAGCAATTTATTGATATTTTGCAAGCAGAAAAACAAGACTTAAAATGAGCCACACAACCAGTAAGTGGGAGCTAACGAGCAGCAGGGCAATGGGGTAAAAGTGTCGGGACGCTGGTTTGTTCTCTGTTACGGCGCCAGCCTCAGGGTCCTCCCACTGCCCAATGTCTCCCTGGGTCAGCCGACTGCAGGGACACCCATCAGAGTGAAAGAGAACGAATAGAGATAGATAAAACACACTGTGGTGTTAGTACATTCTATGCCGTCTAAGTGGGACTTCTAGCACAGACTGATCCATAGAGATTGGTGCAAGAAGGCCCACTTAGACACAGAGCCATTAGTATAGACAAAGCCACAGACAAGCAGGCAGTGATGGACGAGGCGGAAATGTGAAAAACAGGCTCACTAAGAGCTGAGACAGCAGAGGATGGGGTGGGAGGCATTCAGTTTGGTGCAAATTTAACAATAGAAGTTTTATGTACAAGTTTATGTCTACTCTGTCTATGTCATGTCTAGAGTGTAAGAATTGTGTGTACAGTAGTGGTGTAACAGGTTTTTGTAGTGTGTGACACTTGCTTAGTTTGCTTTACAGTATTCATTTCCTTTTGGATAGGATTTCCCGTCATTTAAATGTCTTCGACAGACTTAGCGGCAGTTTGGAAAACATCCTTATCAAACAGTAAAACTGCCCCCTTTTCACTGTTCCAATATCAGAGGTCCGTGTAAAAAAAACTATGACAATTTGCAGGTTCTTTAGCCTGTGTAGATAACGAAACTATGAGAAGAAAGACAAGCACATGCCTGAAGGTTTTAGTCGAGCCACTGAAACAGCATACATGAAATTGTTGTGTGTTGTGGGTGCATGGTCAACCGGTCCAGCCTGTCTTATCACCAACATTAAAGCTTTCATTATTTTTATTCACAACAAACCAACTCTGTCAAACCAATTAAAGGACAAATAAGATACAAATGCTCAGCTTCTTTTGACTACAAAAAACAGTTACCTTAAATATCTTCTGAAGCTAATGCACATGTTTATCTACAAAATCATTTCTTACACGTGTAGAAATTATGACAATGCTATGTTTTAATATTGTTATTTTTTATATTATTGTCATTGTATTTGTTTTGTACTTTTCTTATGAATTAACTGCTGCCTGAATACTAATAAATGAATAGCCTACAATTTTGCCAACTAACTAATCCCAGCATTCTGTTACACTTTAGCTTTCTAAAATCACTGTGGTCTTTAACACAAATGCAGTGCAACGGTACAAAAAGCTATTTCAGACATGTGTGGTCACTGTCAACGCCACACTTTATTTAAACTTCACAAAAACCTTTGTGTATTGACATGCAAGTGTAATACGCATACACATAGGAGCCATTATACATATCATGGGAGGGACACATCCGACATAATTAAACAGCTGCAACGCAGACAAATAAACATGGATAGAAAACATGCCACTCAATGCAGAGGTGGTGCTGAAAAGTTGAGGGATAAAAAAAGAGGTTGCTTGAGGCAGGTGCAGCAAAGTGCCTCAATATTACAGACTTTTCTTGTGCTGCTGTTAGGCTACTTCTACCTGAAGACAGTAGTCAGATGCCTGCAGCAGGGTGGGTAGTAACTTGTTACAAGTAATGCAAATTTGCAAAGAAAAAAAAAAGGTCCCAGACAGAGCATTTGTCAGGGCCTCTGGGTCTTTAGAGACCTTTATTACTGCATTCTTTTAGAGCACATAGCTAAATAAGCCATTAAATGTATCGCTCGGAAATAGCAGCCAGCTGCAGTAGTGTGTTTACAGCTGATGGGAGTTACTAAATACTGGGTCCAGCAGTGTTTCCCACAGGAAGAGACTATGGCGGGTAGGCCTTGAACTCTCTCACCAGGGTGTCCGGGGGCATGCCCCCCGTAACACGTACATTTTAAAGTTAAATGCATTAATTTGGTACAAAATTAAGAGGCTATCTATGAAGAACTTGGTACGCTTGTAAACAATTTTGTAAACTATTTGATCATACACCCATTGTATAGCTATAAATGGTGATGAAACAGCAACAAAAGTCAACAAGTTGTGTGTATCCTTGTGCTAAATTCATGAAGTCCAACCAGAGTCCGACCCAACTTGATAAATAATGTTGTATGTGGTTCTCGAAATGAAGACTTCACAGCCTCTCTTCAGGTAGGACTCTCATACTGCAACACTTGTCTTTGTAAAGAGAGAAACTGACAGGATAAAAGACGCTAAACCTGCCTGTCAGCTCGCTCTGGTCCGTTACAGTGGATTTACCAGAAGGGCGTTAATACTTGTGCACTCCAAATGTAGGCGCGGCTAGCTTAATCGCCTTCACAAACGAGTGATTGAAACAGGCCGTTAACGTGACCGTAGTTACCTCAAAAGAAAAGTGGTGGGCCACCATGGTCTCCTTAATTAATGGGAAACACTGTCCAGTTTTAAGTTTTCATCAGTCAGGAAGTTTTTACACAGAGCTGAAGTCGTTGTGCTCCTCTCCAAAACAAGCGGAAAAGCTGATTACAGCAGATAATAAAGCTCGTTAAACATCCCGTTCCTCTGGAGGCTCAGGCGGACACAGACGTGATGCTGCCATCAGGTCTGCTGCTCTTCTTGGCTGGAAAAGTTTCAATCACCTTCCAAACTGTCGCGATTTTATTTTTGTGTTGCTTTCTCTGTGCTGGAGTTATTTTAAGAACTTGATAGTTTTATCCAGTTTGTTATCCACACATGTCTCGCCGATGTCCGTCCGGATCCGGACCCAGCCGCTGTCCTCTCCGGACTGCCGACCTACAGCCGATTTATTATTGAGACTTACTACCTTGTGACGGAGCATTTGCATTTTAACCCGCGCAGATTTTCTAGCATTTACTGTACTGGTTTAGCGGCCCAGGAAACTCACAGACCAATCGCATGTGCTTCAATAGTCTCATGTAACGCTGCTCAGCCAATCAAATCTGTGCATTCCGATGCTTGCGAGTCGAGTCCGCGAGATTCTAGTGATGGGAAAAGTCATTCTTGTGAAAGACTGGAGACACTAAATCTCGTTCATTAAAATGAACTAATCTTTTTTTTTGTGTCATTTTGTTCATTTTAACTAGGCTGGTTATTGCGGAGCTGCAGCCCTCTAGTGGGCGATTTAAAAAAAAAAAAAGGCTGCCTGGCTTGCGCTAACTGACAAAGTATAACTGCTTTCAGACCAAACGCGAATTTTCGCCTCGCGACGCTTTCCTCGCGTGACTACATTCGCTGCAAGTGTTCACACACAACGCGAGAAGGCGATTTTAACGTGATAACGTGAATAAACACAACTTGCCATTACTACAGCTGTATGAACCCAAAGTAAACATTTTGTTGTGATTAAATAGCAATGAACGGATCAAACTGATGCCGAAATAACTATGATGCAGTTTTGTTAAACATATGAATTCATGCTTTGTCAGGTCTGTCAGCAAGACAGCAGGACAACAACTTCTAAAATGTTTCTTTTCTGAATGGAGTTCGGATCGTTCAGGGCTATGCTATGCTAACTTGGTCACAGTTAAAGTACAACGATAGCTGGAATAAAGTTACATACACATGTTTTCTGAACTCACCAGGTAGTTCAACATACTTGCTTTCTTTTCTCCCAGCAATGTCCAGTTTTGTCCAGTTTTGATATAAATATGAAGTAGTGCCAAACGACGCAATCAACACTGGAACCGGATGTGCACGGAATCTAGCTGCTGAGAAGCTCGAGTGAAGATAAATCAATGTTAGCTAATTTAATAAAAGCAGTTTACTTCGAGCTCCTCCCTCGAGCAAACGGCGTAGTTGCGAGCAAAGTCCAGTCCGACCACGGGTATTAATTTGTCCGAAGCTGGAGCGCTGCTCGCTGCTCCTCTAGCCCAGGTTTAGCAGCTCTCAGCCGGCATGCAGATTTTCAATCGCCCGCTCTGCCTGGCCCTCTCCACACAACGCTCTGAAACTGTTGGTGACGTATGGACAATCTCAACGTTGATAGGCTATCGCGACTCAGCGTCAATGCGAAATTCCTTCGCTTCGCCTTCGCGCCGCCGGCACCGGCCCCTTCGCGTCGCTTCGCGCCGCCCGTCAGGAAATCGTGGCTCTACGCGTCTTTGCATTGACTTTGTATGTAAACTCCCCACCCCGAACGCTCATTTCACTTTTGGTCTGAAAGCACCATAATGCACAAACTCACCTCTTGATCTTTCTCTATCATGGTTCTATAAAGCCCCACGGAGACACAACCAAATTCAAACCATGTAAAAAACACAGAAATATGTTATCAATATTCAATTAAATTTATTTCAATCTTTCCTGAGTATTCTACCAGACCAGCCATATATATATAATTATAATTACTATCACTATGTCTCTAAAGTGCTCATTCATACAGCAGCCTAACGTAAAATCTATATATTAACATCAGATTAAAGGGAATATTTTGAAGTAATAAGCTTGACACACTAGATGAATAAAACACACTCTTATTAAAATTTAACAAATTTAATAATAATCTCAAACACTGCAGGTTGTTCACCAGTCAGGAGCTGTGAAACAACAGCACGGCTCTGTGGATAAATAAAAAGTAAAAGTTAAGTTGTGTTCTCTGGTGGACCCGGATCAGCTGTTAGCTGTAAACAAACCACAGGGTTAACGCTAACGTTGCTATGTGGCTGTGTTGTAATGTTTTAATGAGCCAGTCCGTTTGTTTTGGAGAGGAGACGACCTCTGTGGTAATTCAGCTCCCGGTATAACTCTGTCAGGGCTCTGAAGTGGACCCAGAACAACTCTCATCAGCTGTTAGCTGTAAACACTAGTAGGACTAAAGTTAAGGTGCAGCTGTGTTAAAACTATAACTTAACACAACATAAATGTGCTTGTAAGTTATGCTTTATTAAATGTCACAAAATTATCAAAATAGATATTAAACCATGCAGCTGCTGTGTAAGGAGTGAACGTCAGAGTAAGACTATTCACGCATACTCTCTGAGACAACCCGTTCCTCCTGAGTCACATACAAGATTAGGTCAAATGAACGAAATGTTCTTTGAACGACACAACGCTACGAGATTCACCAGAGACGTTTTGGAAACACACATGAATTGAGGAGACGAAAGGGAAAAACGATTTCACATGGCTTTTAATCAAGAATGTACAGATTTTTACATGTACATTCCTCCCACGGGCAGTTCAAAACCAGAATATCTCATAGATATCCAATCCTAGCTGGCAGGACAAACTAGAGCTCACGTTTCTCACTGAACAAGAGAAAGTAGAAAAGTGGTAGCTCTGTAAGAGGAAATGAAAGAGAAGAGGAGGCATTGCAGCTGTTCATTTGTTATGATGTGTTGAGTGTTTATTATAAAATTGGTTAAAAATACACTTCATCACTTGAAGCTACACTTTTTATTTAATTTTTTCAAAAATTAGGCACTTTATTTTAGTTTACTTAAATTATTAGCGTGTTATTTATTATCCCTCTAGTTTGATGTGAAAACTGACTGAAATATTATTTGATTTGACAGTCTGTTGTTGACTAAAAACATATGTTGATACAACTATACATTATGGTACTGAATGATAACGCAAGTTAGTTGTTTTTATGTTCCTGACCTTTGCATCGGGAAATTTTCTCTAACTGGACCTCTTTGAATTCTAATTGAATACCCCTGCTAAAAATAAAGAAAATGAAAAATATAACATGTGGATTGTTTCATCTATCGTTTTAGTATTGTTTTATCAACGAGGTTTTTGCAGAGCAAGCTAGCAGACGGATTATAAGAACGTTTTTATAGGCTAACGTTACGTGTTATTGAACTTCGTAATTCAATGCACTGAATTGAGAATGTCTAAAAAAAACAAGCATATGTTTTCCCCTATAAAGCAAACATTTATTTTGCGATAGTCTGACGATGTTATAACTGACCACATAGTTGATAACTTAATCATGTTACTGTATGGAAGCTAGATCCAGACAGACTGTCACTTTTTTCAAGTAAGCTGCTCCTACAAATATCTAGGCCATCAATACTGTAAAATCAAGATCAATGTAATCAGTTTAACACATTGCTTGCCTTAACGTTACATCTACTGGACTCATTACATTAAACTGAAAGCAGCATTGTAGATAATATTTTGTCCTTGTAATCCATGTTTCCATTGCATGGATAGCCTTTGGATATCGCTGGAAATAGTCCCCCTCCTAAAGGGTAAATTATTATCTTTACAATTTAATAATGCATTGCATTTAAACAGCACTTTTTATACACAGAAAGCAATAACAGTAGCCTACTGGTACTACCAGGTTGGACATAGTGTCTGACAAAATATGTATCCGCCTCCATAATGCACAGATGGGCTACTATCAAGTATTTAATTTTGTGTATACTTCACATCACGACTAATAACAGGGGTGAATATGGAGACGTTGTTCTTTCCTATCAAAAGTTATAGTGGGATACAAAATACAAACTGGGATCCAGAGAATGTCTAGTACACTAGCGCTGATACTGTTCATTAAGCCTTACAAATAAGTGTTGCATCAAAGAATGTACTGTTACTTGAGCTAAAGTTAAAAGGAATGTTTTTTTTAAATAATGTATTTGAATAAAACTATAACAATAATAATATAGTAATAATAGTTACTGAAAAGATCCTGTTACCGAAACAAATAAATTACATTATATAGGCTACTAAACAAGACATTTTGAAAGCTTGAACATTGCCTTTGTCTCTTTTGTCCCGGATTGAATGTGCCCCTCTGACAAAACAACTGGCCCCAGCCTGGCCCCCTCAATAAAATTGGTCTAGAACCATTACTGCCTGGTTTCCTACTACATTACCTACTACAAATAATGTAAGATGCTTTGTATTTGTTGACTTTCTACTCAAATAATAAGTAAATATATATATAAACAGGTTGTTATGTAATGATTTAAGATTAGCTTATCCAATTACTAAGCCTTATGTATACCAATTTTTGACCCTGATAAGTTGTAGAATATGTTGAGTGATTGAGTTGTGGCCAGTTGTTATTTCTGTCTTTGGTCATGTAATTTCCAGTACTCTTATCTGTCTAACACTGTCATTAGTGGTCTGTACAGGTCGGTACCACAGGCATTTGTGTGTATTTCACTGTTGCTGCTGTTTTTCCCTCTGTCCCTCCGAGTTGGGACGTAACACAGTTTAGATGTGCACTTCACCAATGTCGTTATCAGATGTAGATGGATGCAGATGAACATGTTGGTTGGCTAACACAGACATTAAAGGCAGCCATTTCCTGCAGCACAGATGGGAACATGCAAGGCTGACTTTAAATGTGTGAGGGAAGGTTGTGATGGAGGCGGGAACACATGATGATCTAACAAGCTGGGAGGGGACACAACGTTTTTTATGTGTATGATGAGTGATGGATGTGTTGTGGGTGCAGGTTATTACTTTGATGGTCCACCAGATGTTTATAAAAAGTCTATTTAAGAATTACAGAATGTAACTGCTAAATCTGCAGCAGTATTGGTTAATATGCCACTTGACCCAAATTTTCCTCACAAGCTATGCTGATAGTGTCAGTTTTATAAGCTGAGATATCCCATCTGAAAACTCTACAGCCCAATACAGTGGAGGTAAATGGTATTTTATTTGCACTCCCAAAAGCAATGTCCTGGTTACTATGGATAATCCATAGATTTTATCTGAGCAAATAAAACCAAAACTATCTGCATAGCTATAACTATTTAATCAAAGATGTTGGGATGACTGACTTTTTAAATGCAGCAAGTTTGGGAATGGAACAAGAACTTATAATATATATATATATATAATAACTTGCACCCATAATAGCTTTATACGTCTTTTATCACTGTCTTACCTTCGCATACAGTCCAGAGCACGGATGAAGAAATCCTTGTTGAGCTGGTGTTCATCACGTAGGAGGGCACACTGCTCTAATGTGACAGACATGGATGTCCGGTCTTTGGCACTTTTACAGCTGGTAAACCTGATGCCATTTAACCTTCGGCAGATCTGGAAGGAAGCGGAGAAAAAACATGCAATGTTTAAATGCATCATTAATGCAACTTTGCCTTGTGTTACATTTGCAACAGACTACATAGACTACTACAGCTTCAATTATAGATGTTTCCTGACATCTAGACATAAAGTGCAATTTTGAATATCATCCAACTCTAGGGCAGGGTTTATATGGTATCTTCTTCTGAAGTCAATCCATCATGCTCAGTTACCTTCTGTTTGGATCAGTGCTTCCATTAAAGCCCATGAAATTCTAGACTGCACTGATGTGTTTACAGCTCACAGTTAACACTGGTTATGCAAGAGAGAAAGTTCATATGTACAGTACAGAAAAAACTGTCTTCATTAACAAGTACAGAAATAGCAACAACAGTGCTCACCGTTCCAGCAATCCATAGTATCTCCACATTTTTTCTCTTCTTTGTAACTACATTCTGGCCCAGGGTTTCAAGTAATTCCTTTATGTCAGTCTGTGTCTGAAAACATGGTAGACCTGTTCATAAAAAACACAAAATATGCAACCAGTGAGTGGTTCGGTTTATTGTTTTGTTCTGGTGAAAATAAAAGTTTATAAGGACAGGCTACCACTCAGGACTGTTCTGTTGGATTAATGTGTGCTAGCAGACAAAAGGAAAACAATTCACTTGATACTAATTACAAATTATTATAGATTATTAAATTTAAATGACCATAAACATTTTTGTAGTGATGCGGTGAACTCCTTAAAGTAGTGTTATTATGCTCATCTCTAATCCTATTTAGGGGTTGTACCAGAACAGGGTTACATGGTTTAATTATCAAAAAAACACGACATTTTTTGTCATTCTGCACATTGCTGCTGCTCCTCTTTTTCGCCCTGTGTGTTGAACACTTTGTTTTAGCTATGGAGTGATACATCTTACCCTCTACAAGATCTTTGTTGGGAGTTGCGCATGTGCAGTTCCTAGTTAAGGACTACTAGCCAATCAGAAGCAGAGAAGGGTAAACAAGGCTTCGGTTCAGCTGTACATGTTGCCGACCAGCTTGGCAACATAGACTGGAGCGTGAGTTTCAGAGTGGTGAGTTATTAATCTGTAACAAAAGTATCTTTCCTCCATAAAGTTTTAACTGAGCTCTGTCCCTACATCACTGTAACAACTTTCTGTCCATTTACTGCCTGGGGGGTAGCTATTGTTTTGATGGCAGAGGAGGTGTGTGCTGCTTGTTTGTTGTTTTTGAGAGCTATGTTGGACTAGCTGCTTGGCGAGCGTCAAATTTAGGTTTCATCCCTGTGACGTCACAGAGAAGCGACTGGACTACAAACAAGCTGTTTTCAGGCAGTTCAGAGTTTTCTGTGGGAGATGGGAACTCCCTTTGCCTGGACTTTGGGCTTTTTCACTTTGCAAACCTATTACATGCACAAAAAGGCATATAATTCAATAAAGGAGAGGGAAAAGGCCAAAAAGCAAAATACCACCTATTTAACATACTCTATGCATATTTAAAAAAAGTGAACAATTATTTGCAAATGCTGTTTTCTTCACATCCTTGTGACTGCATGCAAGAGTCACTTTGCTGCAGCAGTGGGACCTGGAACACAAACCCCAGTACTTTTCAAAGAATTACAGAGATAAAGACTATGAAAGTGTTGTGCACTTACATTCTAGTGGCACCTTTTCACTTAACGATTTGTAGTAGGCTTCTAACATCTCAAAGTTCTTCTGGTTTATTCTTTCTTGTAGAGAGATATCTCCAAACCTGAGAGGATGCCAGAAAGAATAATGGCAGTTATGGTGGAGCATCACTAAAACTGTTTCCACAACAGTTAACAGTTTATCAATCAATGTACAGTATCTATACTGCAAAAAAACATTTTCAACCAAGTAAATGAAATATAGTTACATGTTAAACAGGTCTTTGTCTATGAAAGAAAAATATTCCATATTTTAAATGATTATTTTAACTTCATTTCTGGATATAGATCTACAGAAGCCCTGAGAGGCAAGTGAGGCAAAAAAAGTTGCTTGTAGTCCTGCTTAGAAAATGTGGTAGTGGTGCACTTTAGCCTCTTGTGGCCAAAATGAGTGTTAAAACAACAAACACCGAATTTAAGACCACACTGGCCAAATCAGTCGCACTCTATGATTACCAAGGCAAAGGTAATCAGTACCTCTCTGCTATAGTTTGCTGTTCATTGATGCCCACGTTAAACAGCACAGGGAATACTCGTAGAGGCTTTCCATCTTTAATCTCTTCTGGCAAGGTCTGGAAAACCAGTCGTGGTAATGGCACTTCTACAGTGAAGTGGTCTCTGAATGCAGGGAGAGAGAAACAAAATGCAAGGTAAAACAGATTAAATGATTAAACAGAAATTAAATGTGTTTTGCAATGCTATAGAATGTAATACATTTGGGAAGTTGTACAATTTGACACCTAAAACAGGCCTGAGCAAGCTGTAAGAAGAAAGACTGATGAGCGTGAGAGCAAAAGAGTGTAAGCGTGTGAGATAGATTGCCTTAAAGATTGACATGGAGGGATGGGGTAGGAGTGTATTATGTTATCACACCTCACATGATGTGCCATAACTAGCTCAAATAAACTGGCTTGACCTTGTTGGCACATGTGGACTAAAGTTCAACAAGATTCAAAAGCAGGAGCCACTTCCTCATAACACACACAGCATAGTACAGCCATGCCGCTTGGCATACTATCTCACAGTCAGTTTACATTTAGCAAGTAATGTAGGGCTTTGTTTGTCCCGAACAGTTCATACCATAACGCCCCTCAGCACAAAGCTTTGTTGCACAAACACACCCACTGATGCAAGGTTCTACCTCCCAAGAGACTGACAAATCCTCGATACTTATAGTACTTATGGTAAGTGAGTGGATAATAAATACTCTATAACAAGAAAATATGTGAATCCCTGCCCTGTGGTCTGGAGTTTGATTGACAGGCTGCACGTGGATTAAGATCAGCACAAAAACAGAGCAGAAAAACACTGTTGATCCTAGAAGATTAGTCAGTGTAAAAGCACTGGAGGTGATCAGTGCTTTTACAGTAACTGATCGGTCAATAATTGATCTAATTTTAATCTTTCTTTATAAATACATTCATATGACAATGTAATTATAGGGAAATTTGCGGCAACGTTCTGAAACATTACACATAGTTAAGTACCCACTTATGGAGTAGTTGAGAACCTGCATGTACTACAAAGGTCTTGCACACCAGAAAGACTTACTGACAGATACGTTGACACATTGTTGATCACTTGAACTCTCCAGCCCCTGTTTTCTTAACTTCATGCCTTCCTGCACAGCCCGACTGCACAGCAGTGAACAGTGAACTCTGCCCAGTTGATGAGACACCAGCAAATGCTGTGATAGTAATCAAATGGACGCACCTCATGCTGTGAGTTGCAGACAGCTTGTGACAGAGTGGTAACGTGGGTGGTAGAGTTTTGCAAAATAAAAAATATAAAAACTGAGGCTCAACCTTGCTTTGTTTGGTACTGTGAGCTGCACTTTTGCTGAAGTTAACATGTGTGGATTTGTGGTGAGATTTATGCCTAATCAAAAGTGTTTTCACTTAGTTTAGATTTCCACCTCCTTGTCTCATTCAGTTCTGTCTCTGTCAGACAGTCTGAAAGGGATACTACCATATCAATTCACTGCGGAGTATAGGGCGGGTAGTTCTCATTAATTGATGACATTAGTCTTGTAAGATTAGGCTATGAGCTATTCTCGACATTTCAGAGAACGTAGATATGAAAGATAAATTCTGAATGTGCAAAAAGTTTTGATCATGAGCAGAAAACCTGCTGAAACAAAGAAACTATTAATGTCCAGGAGTTTATAACTGAATTAAAATGAATTTATTTATCATTGAGGTGAAAAGGTGCCACATTCACATTTAAAGAGGTTACTTCCCCAAACTCTGCAGGGATATTATTAAATATGAAAAGTTGATCTACACGAGAACACATGTTTAAAAGCAATACAGAATGCTTGAAAGCCACAGTGCATTATATTCTATGAAGAATGGTTCCCCCGTGACCATCGAAACATATTTTTGCTTTAATTGCCCCTCACTAGAATTTAGTCTGTGTTCTCTTGTCTAGTGCCAGTTCATCTTCGTCCCCTGTGTCATGGGTTCCAGCCTTTTCCCTAGTGTTTAGTACTCTCTGTGTTTTTGGATCACTGTTTAGCTTTCTTTGTCCTATTCCCATTTATTGGATTTTGATTCTTGCCTGTGCTTGTTGGATTTGTTTGCCAGTTTGGACTGCTTACTCTGAGCTTAACATTTTCCTGCTTCATCATTCATGAAAGCCTGTTGTTCTTTGACTTTTGGCATTAAGTCATTGTACTGCACCAGCATTGCATTTAGGTCCTATTCCTCGTGTTCCTGGTTAACCTTCTTGCAGTACTGAGACAGCTACTCCCTATATTTAGTATCAAATGACATGGTCCATCTTCCTGAACATTTCTAAGAAATTGCGGTTACAGGCCCTTTTCTAAGACATTCTAAAGAAACTATAGGAACCGTAAAATAAAGTGTTACTCTCAAATCTTAAAATAAAAAGGTTGTGGTACTCAACACCTTTGTCTTTAGGATATTCCATGATCACAAAAAAGAGACTAACTGAACAGAGAAAGAAATAAAAAGTCTCACCGTCGGCCACACACTAAAGGCTGAAGGTCATTGAGGTCATCTGATTTGGCCTCTGTAATCTGGAACACGACTCTCTGCAGGTCTGAGATTCCAACCTCCATGTCCTCCAGCATCCCAATCTCGTCACCTTACACAGTTCAAGAAAAAGAGATTAGTGAATGAATTCTCGCTTGTCACGTTTTTCTCAAAACAACGTGAATTTTTCTTAAATTTTGAAATATATGAATATAAGTCAGAAACTGACCATGTTTTACTCTGCCAAGGATTTATTTTGATGGAAACATGGGTCATAAAAAATGGTTACGGCACTAGCTGTTTTTCAGCTGTTTTTCAGCTGTTTTTCAGCTGTTTTTATACAGACTGATCCATTTCAATGAGAACTGCGCAACTGAGCCTTGTCAAGCCAGCATCAACTGATCATAACCAGAATATCCAACGAGGGTTAAAATGAAGGGCAACTGGACTTGGTTGAAGTTACTGGAAGACGTTTCGTCCCTTATCCAAAGGACTTCTTCAGTTCTGACTGACTGGCCCGGAAACTCAGCTATTTAACCTCAGTGGGTCGATACCGCTGGTTCGTTAGTGTTCCTTGTTGCTGTGACGACAGTCGTTACAGTCGTTGAGACTACCTGTGGCCAAGACTGAACGACCATCGTTGGTATCTTCACCTGAGGCCAATAGGTTACGTTTGTCGAGTTTCCTGGGCAGTGATGAAAGGACAGCATTGTAAGTGGGGGATAAGTGGTGGCGTAGACCCCCTCCCCTGTTCAATGACGGCTTCTCAACCCTGGTGTAGATGCTTCCTTGACACCTCTTTCAAACCATCCATCTTCTCTGTCTAAAATGTGCACCTGGTGGTCCTCAAACGAGTGTCCTCTGTCCTCTGTAAGTAGACTGCAGAGTCTTGACCTGAGGAGTTGGCCCTTCTGTGTTGAGCCATGCGTTTGTGTAGTGGTTGTTTAGTCTCCCCAATATACAGGTCTGTGCATTCCTCACTGCATTGGACCGCATACACTAGATTGCTTTTCTTGTGTTTGTACGTAACCTATTGGCCTCAGGTGATACCAACGATGGTCGTTCAGTCTTGGCCACAGGTAGTCTCAACGACTGTAACGACTGTCGTCACAGCAACAAGGAACACTAACGAACCAGCGGTATCGATGACCCGGGATAACGACCCCACTGAGGTTAAATAGCTGAGTTTCCCGGCCAGTCAGTCAGAACTGAAGAAGTCCTTTGGATAAGGGACGAAACGTCTTCCAGTAGCTTCAACCAAGTCCAGTTGCCCTTCATTTTAACCCTCGTTGGATAACTATGACCTGGATGACTGAGAATCTTCATAGACAACCAGAATAGGCTTGGCCTTAATTCAGTATCTAGTCTCTCATCGTATTGATCTGATAAACATCCATCCAAGACAATCAGGTCAAACTTCGCCTGAACATGTTGTATAAAAGAGATAAAAGTGCCTGTAATAAAGGCACTACACTACTTTGTTACTGGTTTACAATAGCACATCGCCTCAGCCGGGCTTAACCAAACCACTCTATTAAGTCCTTTCTAGAAAGGAAATAAAAACAAACAGCTGTTCAGTGGAGGTTTTGAGGTTGTCAGTCCTGATTTTACTCTTATAGTTTTACTCACTGTAGGTGCTGAGCAGGCTCTCAAACTGTGCCACCAGGCCAACCAGGTGAAGCTGTCTCAGGAAGCCTTTGTCCTGCATCCCTGCATACAGCCTCATGACAAAACCACAGGCTAAGGCTGCCAGCTGTAAAACAAACACACACACACACACACACACACACACACACTTGAGCTACATAGTCTGTAAGTTTTATTTGGCAACATCTAAGCAGCTGCAAGCATATGCACGAAAGCCCAGAATATGCAGGGCCTAAAATAATTTAGCTGCAGTAAGAGTGAAGAGGTCCAGCTCTCATAGCTGTATTCATACCATGGCACTTACATTACTGTTGTAATACTCTAATCAAGAGAATGTTGTCACTCCTTTAGTAGTTGTTAGTTTTAAGTTTGTTGAAGTATGCTGTGTGCAATAACACCTTGCCTTTTTTCTGGCTCACAATATATACACAATGTTTCCATTTACGTGAACGTTTAATGATGCGTGGGGGAAATAATTAATGTTGTCTAGAGAAGCTAGGCACGAGTTGGACCACAAAGGACAGGCAATGAGATAACAAACTGCCTTCTAGTAGCAGCTGTTGGATATTAAAAAACTATTTCTTTTTGCACTTTCATTTGCACTGACAGAGTGAAAAATTAGGAAATCTGTGATAGGTATTGTGAACACAGGGCATATAAAATCAAACATTTACCAGGGGTGTACATAAAGGGAGGAAACTCTCCACAACAGATGAACTAAAACAAGTAAATTACATAGGATTTCTGGACACTTGTTTATCATCTCATGGTAGACACCTACTGCCTGACTGAAGACCACCTCTCGCCTCTGTTGGAGGAGGAAGCCCTGTGGAATGCTGCAGGCTGCCTCCTGCAGGAGCACAAAGGTCATGGCTCTCTTAGCCTTCTCCACCACCTCCATTACACACTCCTTTAACCTGGTCACCAGAGGATTCAGCTGCTCCCTCCAGTCGCCTGCGGAGAAAGATGGTATTGTGACAAATAGGGACAGAGGTGTAGACAGAGATGGAATGATAATTATGATGTAGATTAAAATAACTTTTAATGCTTGTGTGCTCAGCCAGAAAGAACTCAAGTTTATCTGTGAGGTGAAACCGGTTCAGCCATTCATGTTGCCTTTAATTTGGGGAGGGATTACGGTAAGTCAAAACACTGTTTAAAAGAAAACATTGTTCAGGTCTTAACTGCTTACTGGAAACGAAACTGACAAAGTATAGTCACAAAATTGTTTATTATAAGGACCACACGGCCTCAGCCTTTCTTTCATTGTTAGGCACAGCAAATAATGGCGAGTGATTGACCAATGCATTGTATTATCGATTCATTAAATTAAACTTTTATAGTACTGTTATTTGCTATATTTAGATATATTTTGGTTCATGTGTATGAAGCAGTGCAAAGTGGAAATGGCTGGGTGAAGTGATTAGATCAGAGTGTGTCGTGATGAATAATAAGAATAATAAATAAACCCTCAAACAGCATCACTGCCTTGAAACAGCTGTGCCAATTGGTGAAGTGTGACTGTTTTATGGATAGCAGCACAACATAAACATACAGGAATACAAATTTGCAGCCAAAGGCAGATTATGTTATTATATTTTTTTTAAACAGTTAATTAGTATGTTGAAATTATTCTAAAAGAGAAAATGTTGAGGAAGTTTAAATGATCGCATCAATTCAATGCTATTCCAGTCATAATTTTACACCACGTTACGTCACAATGCATTTCAAGAATAAAACATCAAACACCATTTGTTTGTTAGAAAAAAGTTGGGAAGATGGCAACTATGCACAGAAATATTGACCACCGGTAATCTGATGGGACCTGTACAAGAGTGCAAAATATCGTGTTAAAACCAGCCTGTGATTGATGTGTGTAGAGGTGTGTGTGGTTGTTCTGTAGCAGCCTAGTGTCGTTAGCATGTAATTTAATCAAGATAAACACAGTGAACCGCCGTGAGTAATGGCACTCTCAAATCAGAAGCTGCAGATTTACCAACATATCCGTCTTGCTGTATTCAGATGGCTGCAGGGAGTTAATGAACTGAAGGAGACGCTTCTCACACAGTATTACGCAGCTGTGCACAACAGATACTATAACAATCACCCATTCATTTATAGATCAGTGCAGACGGCTTTAATGACGTCCCCGATTCAATCATATTATATGTAATTTTTTATGCTAATTTAAACACCTATACCGTTTTAAGAGTGTGAAATTAAAATATTTTAGTTATATTTTAATCATTTATTCTGTTATTGCTGTGGTTTGCTCGTCTTGACAAAGTCACAAATTTGGCAGTGGTATGACTTTTCATGTCAGATCAAAATACCAACAACAAAACACCGTGCGCACTGCACTGGGCATCAAAATACCACACAGACGGGCAATAACAAATTTCAAGGTCAGGAGTGTTGTTTGTGCTGGTTGTGGCGTCACCACAGAACTAGGCCCCCTTAAATTCACTGCCTAAATGCCTCACACTGTACTCTTTACTTCCTTACTGTGGTGTAATTCCTGTTCGATAAGGATATTGGAGGGAAACATAAAGCAGAGAAAGAATTCTCTAAAGTGAAAGTCAATCGCTCTGCCTCATTTGACAGTGAGCCAGTTATGCTGTGACAAGGGTGGAGAACCTGTTTATCCTTTACTTTTAGCTGCCAGTTTCAACTTCTCTATTCTCTCACTTGATAACTAGTTTTCACACTCTCACTTGCAACATATGGTATTGATGAGTTAAAACTAACTCAGGTAAACACAAGCAGCCTACTGTTTTTTGTTAAATTATTAAAGATCAGAAGCACATCCTATTTGTATATTCTCCCACTTAACATAGATTAGGGCTATATACTATACAGGCTACTAATTGTCAGATTACAATGATTTCATATTTTATTTTATACAATTTACAGCCTCTACATTCCCTTTGTGTATACCATTGTGGGACAATATTGTATATCAACAGCACACTTTGAGATGAAATGTATTCAGTATGCTCACTTTTGTCACACTGCACCATTAAAGAATCTGCTTAGAAACAGTAGACTGCGTGCACAATTATTAGGCAAATTGTATTCCTCAGTTTTATCATTGAACAAACACAATGCTATCAGTCAATCCAAAATATAATTGAACCTTAAACCTGAACGTTTAACTAAAGAAAAGTGAGTTTTGTCTTGCTCAGGAGAATATAAGTGTGCAAAATTATTAGGCAACTAAATTACGAAAATAATTTCTATCAAATTATTTTTTTATTCTCAATTTTTAGAGTAAGTGCAACAACAAATGGCAATTAAATAACATTTTTGGCCTTTCAAAAATATTTAGTAACCAATATAGCCACCCTTCTTTTCAGTAACTGCCACAAGCCTTCCATCCATGGAGTCCTTCAGTTTCTTGATCTGTTCGCTATCAACTTTCACTGAAGCAGCAACCACAGCCTCCCAAATGCTGTTCAAAGAGGTGTATTGTCTTCCCTGACTGTATATCAAGTCAGGTGAGGATGGGGGCCAGGTCGTTATTCGGGCATCTTTGGGGCCCTTGCTGGCTAGCCAAGTAGTGGAGTACTTGGAGGTATATGATGAATCGTTGCCCTGCATAAAGATCATGGCTTCCTTGAAAACTGAGGGCTTCTTCCAGTACCACTGCTTGAAAAATATAAACATAAAATCATCCAGAGACTGGCACGAGGTTTGGGAGTTGAGTTTCAGTCAGTCTTCAACCCGAAAAGGTAACTATCTCCTGTTATGGGCTGCTATCTTTAATGATAGCAGCCCATAACAGAACCCATCCTCCACCTTGCTGACAGCTGAGTTAAAGTTGTGCAGTGTCCATCAGAGTTTCAGCCACGGACCATCCATCTGGTCCATCAAGAGTCACTCTCATTTAATCTGTCCATAAAACCTTTGGAAAATCTGTCTTCAGGTATTTATTTGCCCAATTTTGACGCTGCAACTTATGAATCTTATTCAGTGGTGGTCGTGTTTCAGCCTTTCTGACCTTGGCCTTGTCTCTGAGCACTTAGCGCCTTGTACTAAAGGACACTCCAGGTGTATTGCAGTTCTGGAATATGGTGGCACTGGAGGACATTAGGTTCCTGTTAATTCACATTTAATTCTACTCAAGTCTTTCACAGTTAATGCGCCTTTTCTTCTACTTGCACTTTTGGCACACCAGTTGACTATTCGCTACAAAACTTTTGATTGTCCAGTGATCACGCCTCAAAAGTTTAGTTATTTCAAGACTGTTGCATCCGTCTGAATGGATGCAATTTTTGACTTCTCAGTTTCAATTAAACCTCTTTTTTTGGCCCACTTACCTGAAGTAATGAAGCTGGCTAATAATCATGCACACCTTTATATAAGGTGTCATTCACTTTCACACCCTCTGTCATTACAGAGGTTTGGAGTTGAATGTGCATAGAAATTATTTTTCATTCAGAATATTTACTTGCCTAATAATTGTGCGCGCAGTGTATGTAGGAAATGGGACACTGCTAAAGTGTGATGTCATGGTATATGCATTTCCTCCATCCGAAACAAGTTTCTGGCTCCTCTCTGGCCAACAGGGGGCAGTATTGGTTAAGTAATGTCCAAAATTAGTTTTCTGCCCCCCTTGCTGTCTGCTCAGCTGATTTCAACATATTTAAAATTTCTTGGGGGATAAGTGGGGATGAGTGTGGACCTGCACACACACACACACACACACACACACACACACAGTTAGATATGACAAAGAATGTATAGCACATCATCCTTGCCCTTGCCTTGTCAGAGAAATCATGTCTTATCTCATTCCGCAAATGCCGCCTCTGCACAGAGAAGGAGGAAACAGAACTCTAGCTGTCATCTCCTCACCAGCCCACCTGTCCAAACATCCAAACCCCCACAACGCCTTGTCATCAAAAGCCCGGCCTTCACCGGTCTTTGCAAGGAGATAAAGCCTCTCTCATTATTGCGTCCATGTTTGTATTTAGACAAGCAGATGACCACTTGCTCTGAGACTGTTCAGCATCTTAATAAAGGCGCTCGGGAGGGTTGAGCTTATCTTTCACACTGAACACCCAGCGGATGGCCTTGTTCTTACCTGCCAGCTCACTTGGACATAGGGACACACACAGACATACATGCACACGAAGGCACAAAATTATACACATGTGCCAGCGCTCACACAGATGCCTGAGTGTGCATTTGCCTGTGACAGACACCCATGCACACACACACACACCACCTCGCCTGGTCAGACTAATGCCGCTGCTTTGTGTGCCAGTTGGCAGTTGAAGCAAGCTGGGCACTTGTCTGGACACAAGCTTGAAGCAGGATTTCATTGGTCGTAAGGGAAGACTGGGCAGCTTGCGGTCATCAGTGAATGACCCTGCATATTAAATAGTGCTTTCATCCACTTCTCTGGCAACAATTAAAGTTTTTTTTATTGTTTTTTTTTTGCTAATGCTTTAACTACAGGGAGCCTATAAGTTCGACCAGAGTGACTTTAAAGTCTGCATTATGCTACATATGTTGTTGCCTATGATGCATCACTTATCTGTTTGACTGAAGAGAAAAAAACAACCTCTAAAATGGGAAGTTTTCCATAAATTATAATTTATTTACTATACTATATCTTTAAGTTTATTTTTTTTACTTTTGTAGATAAATGAGATGTAACAGTTAATGTCTAAATGGAGTCTGAGCTATTTTACACACAGCAGCTTGTCTGCAGATATCTAAGTGATTCACTTAATAGCTTTAATTACCACATATGAAGAACTTTAATACCAATATTGGGATTGGTCATGCAGAAAAAAAATACAACAAGACTCTGCTGTGCCACCTGTTTGTCTGAGCCTGTCGGTGGCAAAATTTACTTACGCCCCAATGTAACACCTTGCAGCCACTGCAGCCGGTTTACCGGCTGCCGGCTGAAGCCATCTACTGCACAGATTCCAAAAATGTTTGTACCTACTAGTCATTTTGGCCCAGGTTTAAATATACAAAAATTCTCCTTTAATAGAGATGATTACATGATGCTTTACAGCAACTGTTATTTACCGGGGTTGTGTGAGGTGATGACATCAGCTAGCTGCTGCTCAGTGACTGGCTCTTGCTTGTTGTTGTCTTCTTCCTGGATTTTATCCACCATGGCGATTACACAGTTGAGACATTTGGCCACGTTTGCCCACACCCTGTCCTAAAAGAGCCAAATACACAATCTGAAGTCAGAGAACCCTCACTGATTAGATCTCTCTCTTTTCTCAATCTGTTTGGGATAATGAAATAGAGGAAAACCAAAAAAAACTGAAACTGTTGAAGCAGCTAAACCATTACAAATAATTCTAAGTCTAAGTCTGATTTCACACCTGCCTCATTTAGTTCGGTTGAATTGCACTAGAGTTTGTTTTCCCCCTTGGTGCGGTTCGTTTAGTCAGGTGTAAATGGAGCAATGGCGAGACCTCCTTGAAGAGGTGCTCTCGGTACGCTTTCAACATGAACTCTGGTGTGGTCCGCTTGTTGTGTGAAAACAAACAAACCAACCACATGGTTTTTATGATAGCAGAGATGTGATGTGAGCATTATTTCAAAAGCTAAACCACTAATAAATCCATGTGCTGACCGTGAAATGTGTTCAGCGATCTTATAATTGATCTGTACGCCATGTATAGGCTATGTTTATGAAAATCATTTGGTAACGTAGGCTATACGTGTCAACGCAGGTATTTTCCTTGACTAATAGGTCAAAAGTTTTTAAAAAAAGGAGGGCAAGTAGTACTCCGTTTACCCTGTCAGTTCATTAATTCCATAAAACATTTGTGACAGCGATACCACAGTATACTGTAGTCTAATTAGCCCCAAATTATTACTGTACTACATGTCCTGTTTTTACGTTATTATTCATAATAGGCTATGTGGTCAATCTGCGGTCTAACATTACTGATCATGCTTATAATGAATTATTACTTTGTGAGCTCTTTGCGATACAGATCAGAAGCATTAAAGTGCTACATAAACTTCAGTCACCAGAGTTTGATTTCCCCACGTGGGTCTTGATGATGCAGGATGACAATCGCCAAAGCTGTCCAATCAACAAGTTACATGTAAGTCTGTGTAACGTCATGGTTACTTGGCTTGGTTCGTTTGTAAAAATGTGTGTGAACATGAACCGGACGGGAACTAAAATGCAACAGCGTATAATTTTTTTTCACTTTGTCCGGACCAAATGAACCAAACTACAGGTGTGAAAGCACCCTACTTTCTGCCCAAAAGGTAAAAAAAATTTGCTGTCTGTATATGCTGATTACTCTCAAAATGTTTTCATTGTTTCCAGCTTGTGACAATCCAAATGCGTGAGTGTGTGTATGTATATTTTAAGTTGTGGTGTGTTTTGGCCTTGAGAGATAATTAGGCAGTGACGTGCACAAATCATGATGAACTCCAACAGTCATATACACTTCAATGAAATTCCGATTCTGTGACAAGGATACCACAAAATAATCTTCTGCAGTCAGTTTGTCATGATGAAAAATTTTGAACTCTTTGAAACTTGCATTTAAAAGAAAGAGGGATGTTTGGTATGCAATCTAATTTTGCAAGTAATTGAAATTTGAAATTTATCTGTATTTCAGTAATAGTTTATCTTCATGTGTGTCCTCTACCATGAGGACCAGCACTAAATATAACACTTTATCACATTGTACTTTAAAATAAATAAAACCATAACAAGTCAGAGCTTTGAAAGACTTTTTAATGACTTAGAAAAGTAGTCACGCTCACCCATTCCTCCTCGTCGTACTCTTTATGGTGCGGTATGGACTCTTGGTGCTTCACAAGCCCACCTTCTCCTCTTGTCATGGTTTGCGATCCTTCCACATTATTACACACTGCTGTGCTCTCAGTGATTGACATAGCCGGACTGTGGCCTGGAAGTCCCTGGACTGGACTCTGACTCTGTTCGCTACTCTGGTGGATGTAGCCTTGATGCACCGGGGTTTGCGTGTGGTTCTTGGAAACGTACCCAGGGCGCGCTGCGTGCAGTGCTAGTAGTGCACTCTTGACCAATTCATCCTTAAGTGTGTGAACAAATTGTTCTGTCTGTAGCAAAGAGAGAGAAAAGGAGATTGAAAAAAGTTATTGTGGGAAATGTGAGGGCTGAAAAAGCAAGAGACACAGAGTAAGTGAGAGAGATAGGGATCGTTACATTGGCGAGGTGAGCAGGTGGAAGTGACATTGGAAGTAGGTAACTATTTACAGAGGAGTGAAAAAAAACAAGGAAAATGAAGACTGTGCTTCACCATAAAGTAGCTGCTCTTGATTACCACAGCACAGCCTGCTAGCAACAACAGCAACAAACAACAAACAATTCAATTTCTTCTCCTCTAGCCTGCTTCTCAGAGGAGCACACCTCCTTTGATCTCAAAATCACCAGCTACTGTAAGTTGATGATGATCTCGGCACCAAGGAGCCTCACACTCGCTGCCGCCACGGCGTAAAAAATGATAAGGGCTCTCAAGAGTAATTGAGTTAGCACTGCAATAAGCAATTTTATTACCACAGCAAAATGCTGCCTAACAAAACACGGGTCTCCATAAAAAAAAAACTGTGAAGTCATTATATACATATATTGGCCACACAAACACCCTGTTTCTGTTTCTAGGATGTGGACTGAATAGTGAGCTTGTTGAGACTGCCAGAAGTTGAGGAGACAGCTTAGTCAGCAAAGAAGCAGAGAACTGTGGAAAAGAACCCCGAGCTATTCCTGTCCCGATACTAGTGACGCTTTGTGTGGATGTCACAAGGAAGTGACTCTATACTTTTTTGGCTTGTGACCCTTTAAAATACAGCAATGTAGACTTCTGACAACCTTTTAACAGGCTGCATGTGCAAATTACCCGTAAGCAGTTTAACAAAGCAGTGATTTTCACTTCTCTGATTTTGTTATTTGCGCACTTCCCCTTTACTCACCCAAATATACAGTAGCACAAGAAAACAGTATAAATTAAAAATGGTTAGTTTAGCAGAGTTGTTTTTAAATTCTCTCATATAATCATGTTTTGACACTTCAAGTTTATCTTGTAGTCCTTTGGTGGATTGTATCTTCAATGATGAAAATCACCATCAAAAGTTATTGTGCCACTTAAATTCTGTTCAAGTAAGGTTTTTCTCTCATGTTTGGCATTTATTCCTCTGTTGGTGAATTTCTACAATTTCTTCCTTTTCTAGTCTTCTCTTGTCTCTTATTATTCACCATTCTGACATCACCACATTCGATCTTTCATCTTTCTGCCTCTGTGTTTCTCGAGGCAAATGGGGACATCACGTTCTGGGATATTTCAGACAGGGTTGGAAATTGCAATTCACTGCTGATCAAACTGTTTTGTTAATTTCAAAGATTCGTAATCACTGAGTATGTACTTCACTTTACATCAGTACATCACTGTTCATCCAGTAATGCTGTGTTCAGTGTTCATCGTTCAGTGCTTATTATTGAGTTCAGTAGTAGGTTCAAACTGTTATGCTCAGTTCAGTACAAAACTAACTCAGCAGCCAAGTGTTTATGGTTTCTTGGTTGAGCTAGTGTTAATTTGAAGAAGTTGGGAAAAAATACGACAAACTCACAGCTACGCTGAAAATGGGTTTTCCACAATACTTCCCATTTATTGGTAATACATCAACCTTATCCAGCCCGGTTTTATGGCTACTGTTCTATCATACATGAGTAAAACAGAGTCTTACAAACTACACACTTGATTTGAGAAGCCTAACAAAAACAGGAGCTCAGCAACAGGCATCCATTCACAGCAGGCGTAACTTACCGCTCTACGAAATTGCGCTGCCTGATGACGCTTCTCACGTATCTAGGCAACACAGTATCTTAAAGGCGCACTTCACAATTTCGTCTGTTACATAATCTTGACATTTCTGTGTTTTTTTTATTCAGCTTTAACATTAACTAAGAAGTACTCACAGCTGCGCTGATGTTGGTGCTTTTAGTCACCACCAGTGAGGAGCTTCCCTGCCAAAAACTACTGCCTTAATCAGTGACAATGATGGTTCAGTATAGTCAGCCCAGTTTGAAGATTCAATTGCCATATTCATACCTGTACCATCACCCACTTGCTGGCTTTCCTCCACTACCACCAGTGTCTACACTCTGAAGATCTCCGACCTTCATATGGACCTGCACTTAATGAAGATGCTTCACATCAGTGGGGTCAATTGTCATACACATCCAATTCATCTCTCTTAGCTAAACTGTAGTTCCCAACACTGGCGTATTACTTCTGTTACTTTGGCCGCTTCACAAAGTCATTATAGCTTTTACTGAGAAGAATCTGCTTAGCCGCTTTAAGAGTGTTCCTCTCAGCTACAGTCGGTTTCAGTCATTAAGAAAAGACTGAGCCTGGTTTAACTGCTCTGCTCATGATTTAAAAAAATATATAAGGATTGTAAATGGCCCATTTGATGAATGTTTGAGCAGAGAAAGCAAATTATGACTGCGCTGAAAACACCACTGTATTTAATTCATATCCATTTTAATTGCCTTGCATGGCCCAAAATGAGTTCCATTACTGAAAGTCAATGATATGAGAGCGGAAATCTATGGATAAGACTACATGTGTAATTGCCTGAGAACAAGCATTTCTGCAGGAATACTATTCTGTGATGCACACAATTGTATACAAATAACTAAACAACATTTTAAAAGAAATGTCCAAATGAGCCATGCTTGATTCTGTAACCAAAACACTTAACGGGAACTGGACTTTTAAAATGTAAATTTATATTCAAATTGAACTCTGCTTATCTGACCTCAATGTTAATTTGCAATCTATGAGACCATGTATTATTCATTATCTTCCCTGCGATGAGTGAACAAAGCCACACACTGTATTTAGAACAGTCTGGATCATATTTGGGCAGGGTCACAGTTCCAGTGCTCATACAGTATCGTTTTATGCCGGTGAATTTATTTTTCCTATCAATGTAATCCACGCATTTTTGTTGAGGATATAAGACAATTGATTACATTACAAATCAAACATATCAATCAACAAACCAATCAGTCAATCAGATTCCTAAATATTCAGTTCCAGGACTTGTATCGTGTAAGTACAGGATCTACAGTAAGTGCAAAATACATTTGTACTGCTGGATCCATATAGATATTATGTTCAAAGTAAAATATCACAGGTGCACTCCTTTGGGCAAAGGAGAAAAGCACTGCATCTTCATTTTCTCACCAAAGCTAAACCATAGCAACTTTGCTCCTCCGTGTGCAAAAACTACTCCTAAGTCTAGCTCTTCCACACCTACCTGTTTTAGAGATCAGAAACGCTCAAAATCCCTGAGGAGAAATTCAGTTGCTAGTCTTTCTTCAATATATCTGCTGATATGATCTTGACTGAGCAGAAGTTCAAGTCAGAAAGTACCTCTGTGGACTCCAACTGAGAAAAAATAAGGTGCGTTTGATCTAAAAAAAAAAAGAAGAAGAAGAAGAAGAAGGAGAAAACTAGGAATCTATTCACCCCTGAATGTTTTCAAATGGTTTTACCCTAAAGGATGAGCGGAACTTGGCTGAGTTAAAAATAGAGCTTTTTCTCTCAATGTAACTTCACTTGAGAGGTGAAGGGAGGCTGAATGGATGGAGCTGGTCCGATTCCAACAGCACTTGGCTGTGAGGACACATACTCACTATTGCGTGTATGACCTCTATACACCATATAATTTAACATAATCATGCATAGACTATCCAACCCACAGCTCTTCCCAGGTAACTGTTACAGCGGAGACATATAACTTGTCCTAGGACACAGCTGGAGGGAGGGGAGATGCCGTGCAATTGCCTTTTCACTGTGATTATCATCAGAGTGAAATTATTATTATCATCATCAACAGAATCATCACTGTATATAGAGAAGCAACAGCGCATCTGCCGTGTCCAACGCTAATCAGAATGTGCCCGGGAAAAGTATTCTGGAGTGAAATATTGCATTAGGCCCCGAGTCAGGAGGTCTGAACCAAGAAGGAAAAAGTCAGAGGCAGTGAGTGCTTAATAAAAAAAGGTTCTTACACCCCCCTGATTTTCTCTGCAGGTGTCTCATCTTTCCCAGATTCTTGGAAGGTGTGACTCACTGTTTTTATTGAAGAAACTTAACGCACTCTCAAGTGCATCCACCTTATTTATATGTCTGTAAGAAGCATATCACATATCTCTCTGACCTTAAGTGTGAGTTTAAAGTGTGTATATCTCCCTTTTTTCCCACTTTAGTTTTGTTCCTTATGTGAAATGAGGGCGTAAAGATAAAGGGTGTTGCGGGCTGCAACTAATTATTTTCATTATCGATTATGCTGCCAATTCCTTTGTTGATTAATCAATTAATCAATTTGTCTACAATTCCCAAAATCATTTCCCACATCCAAATCTTATGTATTCAAACATCTTAATTTATTCAACCAATTTACAGGTCAGTGTGCTTTTCACTGAGGACAAGCTTTAACACATACAGGAAATATTTGGCATATTTTTATAATTTTTATTTTAACGCATAGGTATTTGTGTGTCTGTAAAAAAAAAAACAATCTGTATTCTGTGAAAGATGACCAGATGTGGAGGTGGAAATACTGATATAAAATCTGACATTGTTCATGATTGGAGGATGAGGAGCTTGAAGAGAGTGATGTCACTTGAACATCAGCTTTAACACACAGTTTCACACTTCCACTATCCTTAACCACACACACACATACACACACAAACACAGCTTGAGATAATAATCAGAGAGCAGCCCTGCTTGTGCTGACCAGGCCAGGGGTTTACTTGGCCAATATGTGTGTGTCTAATCAAGGATGAGAGGAAGTGGTGACACACCGAATGTACCAATTAAGCAGGCTGATTGGGCTCTATTCCACTGTGGCAAAAACAATCTCTCCCACAACAGATTGCAATCTGACAGCACCAGATGTAATTCATTAATTATACTGATAAAAATGCCTCAACTCCATAAACCTCCATGCTGCTATTCACTTTTGTTAGTTTGGCGTATTTATGATGAGTTATAGATTTTTCCTGAGGTTGTCTGTTTGGTTGTGTGTGTGCAGCTGTGTCGAAGCTACTGCTGGATTTAAAGTTTTTAAGACAATTTGGAGAATTTATACATTTTGCAGTTTTGTTTGTATTGAAACTAGCAGAGTAATATTACCAGTGCGGGTACTAAGCCACTCTTGTAGGAATATTCCTCTTAGAGAGAAAACATTTAGACTCTAAATCTGTGTCGCAATAGATCCCCCCAAATAGTCCTCAGGCTGCAACTCTATAAAGAAAACTATTGGTTATAGGCTTAGAAGCAGAACCCCTGAGCAAATAATTAAGTTGTTTTTTGGAAGTGTGAACGAACTTATCGCCACAGTTAAATCTAAAAGGCCTTTCAGTCTAAGCTATTACCTGACAACATTTGGTGATATGTCCAAGAATAAAAGAGGTGGCTTGAGAATTGCTGCAGCTTCAGGCCAAGAGGAATAAAGGAATAGTTTAGATGGAAGTGAGGGTGGGTTGAGGGTTTGGGGGGCTGCCTCACCTTGTCAGAAAGGTTCTTGAGTGCATCCCTCAGTCCAGAGGAAGAGTGCTCCTGGGCAGCCTGGAGGAGCTGGTCCGCTAAACTTGTGATGAGAGGCTGGAGGAGGCTCATGGTGCTGAGTACCTCCTGAGCTTTGGCTGTGTGCTCTGGAGAGTAGTAGATACACTGGTAGGCAGTGCTGAAGCTGTGTTGGAGGAAAAAACAATCAATTCAGATTTGACATATCTTGTCAGCTGCAGTTGCACGGTCAGGAACTGGATACAGTGCTGTTTCAGTTTTGACAATACATGTGAAAATGGCACTAATCTGATTTTACAAAAATTAAATAAAAAACTGGGTCACAGTTGCTTGTAATGAAATTGTAACCACACTACACAGAGACTCATCCCATGTTTGTTTAGCTCAGTGCTGCTGGTTTTCTTAGTGTCCACTTGCCACCGGCGTCTGCCAAAACTAGCAGAGTGGGAAGAGACGATATTTGATATGAAACAAGCTACACTGCAGCATGCGCTGGCTGACCTGCTCCATTTGGCCGCAAGATCAATGGTGACACAAAAAATACAAACATACACAACCGATCACGAAAAGGTTTTCCGTTTTCCCTGTAAGGTGTGATTTAAGTAAAAGTTAATGTTTTTCTACACTTGATATGTTTTGTGGTTAGACCGTGCATCTCTAAACTAGACTGTAATATAGCATTTTAAAATAGCATTATTAATATTGAACACATTTTATTATTAAACAAGTATTTCTCTTGATGCCTTAGATTGCTGTGGAACATGTGATGCACCATGCTCTGTTGCTTTGTGCACTTAACTATAACAGCTTTAAACTCCACCTACAACTTGTACTAAAGCCTGGGCACCCGCTGTGAGTAACATGAATAACAGCAAGCACCTAATTTTATTTATACAATATTTCCCTTGCATCACAGGTATAAATCAGTCCCTAACTACACAGATAAATTAAACACAGTATGGCTCTTGATCCTGGAAGGGGAGTGGGGAAAAAGTATAACTCTTATTGTTATCCAACAACAGTAGAAAAGCTCCACAACTAACATTTTCTCATCTGATCAGTGATTTACAATGTCAAATGGCTATTGTGGTGAGGTCAAGTAATGACAAGCAGACAAATAATGAGTTTTTATTGACTATAAACATTATGTTATGGTGCACTAATTTTCTGAGCTCATTTCATTACGTGTTGCTACTTTTGCTGCCTTGAAAATGCAATGCTTTCCAGGTACTCAGCCTGAACTGTCAAACTGAACCTGAAGTCCAATGTCAACCCATTTTCACTTTATGAATAATTAATCCCTTCTTCATTTCTAGGGAGCTATTTAATCTCAGACAAAAACACCTTTTGTCAGTTCCTAGATTCAGGGCAAATCACTCCAATCAAACATTCTCCTCGGGTAAAGTTCCAGTGACTTTCAATGAGTTTCCGCTGACTTCCTTCCATCAGATGTAGCGTGGAGCGAGGCAGTCATTTGCAACCCTCCCAGCTAGTTTAGAGTCATCTCTGCAAGCCTCTATGTAGGCCAGACCCCAGAGCCAGATCCTAAGGCATAATTGACATAACAGTGAGAGAGCAAGAGAGCGAGGAAGGGAGGTGCACATACAAAGGGCTGGCATAATACAATATTCTCTGCAGCGCTCCTAATATTTTGCAGCGAGGGAAAGAAAGTGCTTCTTAAAAAGTCGCTCTGTGTGGAACAGCACTACCTGATGTATCAATAAGTGTGAAAATCTGAAGGTCTTAAGAAATTAGGCATACTATAGTAGATGCTAGCTACTAACTATGTCTTTGACTGGCTAACTTTAAAATCTTGGCCTTGTCATTACAGCTAATGAGCCCCCTGGAGAACTGCCACCCACAAGCTCAAAGCTAATCAAAGGAATCACTAAGTGCGAACGAGACACTGGGCAAACAGTGTGAAATACTTAACCACATAGAACACCACCATTTCTACTTGCATAACATCTGTTCCCCACTTCCATGACCATACCTTCAAATGATAAGAATTCAGCCAGAGAAGGCCATAATTGAATAATCTACTGCAACAAAGTAAAGTCTGTAAAACCCTTTCATCCCTTGTGAGCTTACATACGCCATTACATTATGCAGAACTAAAGAGAAAAAATCCTGCAGGACTGCAACAATACAGATACTCCAGAAAAGATGCAAAGGAGAAAGTTGTTGGGAGAAGACAATTGCTTCAGCGACTCAGATTCAATAACAGCCCTGTTGACTCATAAGTACAAATCCAATCCCATTAGGGAGCCTATGCAGGCAATAATGAATGTTGGGACCTGCCACCTGATGCTAGAGGACAGAATTGATCCCCTCTAAGGCTGGCCAAGGCAAGGCATTTTAATTGCCTCATCAGCACTGCTGTCAGTCTGAACGGTTCTACCAAGATAGCAAACAATGCAAAGGTAAAACAGCATAAATCTGTGAATGCGAATTTGATGAAAGACCAAAGGGGATGTTGCACATGAGGATCTGATTGTCATTTCAAGCCTTGGGTAAGTTTTTTTTTTATCCCTCATGTAGTTTAGGGGTGCTGTGTGCCAAGCTTTTAAAACATGGTGCCAATAAAACAGAGGGTAGAAATATAATGCAAAATATAATCCAATATAGCCCTGCAAAAAATACAACCTTTGTGGAGCTTATAATATTTGTCTTTTGTTGAATGTGTATCAGAGAGACAGGTAATGTCTGAGATCATAGTTTGTGGTGTCTTTGGAGTGCATGATATTTTAATAAAGAAATACAAGAGCAAGAAATCCGCCCACCTGTCTAGGTCTTACGTTGGCGGGACTTGGCCTCAAGCTGACTCACAGCACACCTGAACTCAATAAAGGCCTCCTTCTTCCCAAATCCTTTACTTTTGATTAAAGGATCCCCCAGAAGAACTTGTTATTTACTGTTTGTTTGTTTGGTAGACATATGCCATTTTGAAATCTGGATGATTTGTTTTTTAAGTTAAACATTTTGTTCTTATGCAGTTGCCATTTGATCAGACCATTCTGAGTGTTTGATATCAATAGCATTCTTTTGCCTTGTAGCGCTGTATTATCTGAAATCACAAACAAAGTGAAAAAATCCTTTGAAAATTAAATCAAAGGTCAGAAGGCTGTTTGTACTTAAAGTATAAGTTTGCCATGCTGGAAATGTTTAGACCAGGCGCTGCTTTTACTTTGTAGAACCGCTTTAAACGGTGTATGAATGTTTACTGTAAAAGAAAAATCAAAAACTCTTGCATGTTAGAAAATCCCTACGTTGCATGCAGACTTATAGCATTATGAGCAGAGCTTTCTAATGTGCCCACAAATTGTATTTCAGTTAAATAATCTCAAATTGGAGCCATAATAGATGAAAGAGGCTTATTTGTGCAGACTCCATTACACAGTACACATAAATTATATATTAGGACTCATTATCTTAATAGTGGTCAGCATAGCCACATCAAACCACAGCCACCTGCCAAGGTGGAGTCAACAGCGCATTGGTGTGAATAGTGTGCCTGTGTCTTTAAAATCACACCAACCTCTTTTGTTCGTGTGTTACTTTGTTTGTCATCCTGTCGTTAAAAAAAAAACATTTCCAGCAGACACAACTAATTGCAATGAATATAAGAACAGAATGGTATAACTCAAATTATGGCACTAATTCCAGGATGCATAGTCAAGTTTAATATTTGATTTTTACCAGCATATGTCAACCAAAACAGCTTGCATGCATGAAGGGCTTTGCTTTTAGCTTTTAACTCTCTATAAAGCCACCTGACAGTGGCAGGTTTGTTTTTCATTTGAAGACCTAAATTTGTGTGACACTTTTGACACTCTTTGTCAAAATTCAATTACATGTGCCAGAACTGCACATCTTCAAAATGTATGCTGCGTAGTGCACAGAGGAGACTCTGTCTTTCTCAAGACACATGCAGTAAAGGTTGATCTGTGGCTGTGATGGACAGCATGATGTGGACGTGTAGAGCAGAATCGTGACTGGTCATTTAAGTGTGCTGGTTAAATTTAAGAATTTGTCTTAAAACCTCCACAATTACTGTTTATCTGGCTCACATCCAGTTTCATTACAGTCATTCTTCGTTTACACAGACATGTAAAACCCTTAAAAGTAACAGTTTTGTTCCCTGTTTGTCAGCAGTGACATTATTAGTTTATGTAAGACAATTTGATGCCAAATAAAATTGTGCATTATCACAGAAAACAATGGAGCCAGCTGGATATTCTACATGTTCAGAAACAATAATTCAATTCATCAGGCCTTGGAGGCATTTTCGGTCTGAACTATATCTTTCTACCTCTTGTGAGAGCATATTGTTTCCTCTTAGGTGAAGCTCCTCCAGACGCCTTTACAAGACGTCAGTACGTCATTGTGGAGAGAGTTATGACTTTAGAAGGAATTGCTCCAGATCCCAACACACTCACTTACAATGTATGATAATGGATTGTTCTTAATCCCACCTCATTTCCAAGTGCACCCTGGGTGCGCCACGCGCCTCCAGCCATGAAAATACTGAAGGTGTGCTGCCACCTCCTCTGCACAATATGCACAGTACACTTGACTGTGCTTTTGACTTTGCCCTTTATCCTCTTATAATTCAACTGACCAACAGCACTGAATCTCCAGGAAAAAGGAGCCATCCACATGCTCACACATTTGTCGAGCAACGCCTGATCAGGTAAACTTGACTCTAGGAGGAGACGCCAGTCTACAGATTACTAAAACCAGCAGTCTCCTTGGTTTTCCTAAATGATCAATAGGAATTGGTTATAATGGTAATGAGAGGGAGAAAACCACTGGGCCCAGCGGCCTAATTAAGCCAGCTTCTCCAGTGCATGGCTAATTAATAGTGGAGAGGAAATTAATGAAGAGCTTGTGGCCTGCTGCTGACAGCCAGCAGGAGTAAAATGCAGCTACGTCAGCAGAGAGCCCTGCAGCACTCCAGGTGACTGCCAAAGCCTCCTTTGTCATTTAGACAGCACGCTCTAATCACGGTTCGTACACCAGGCCTCTGCCACATGGCCACATGCTGTAACATCTGAACTCCAACCAGACTCTTAACTGCCACATTCAATCTGTTGTTGAATCCTCCACTGGGCACTGATCTTACATCAGTTACCAGAAAAAACGCCAAAGCATTCCTCAATGATTCACACAAGCTAGAAACCCTGATCTGAGACCAGATAAGCCTCAAGGCTACTGCCAGCGTCCCTCTCCATCACCCCAGAACCTGGAGCAGGTTAACTCCAGAGCAGGAAAAGAACTAACAAGCTGCTGTCCATCAGCATGGAGTCCCGGCCACTGCCAATGTCCTGTCTCACACACAGTAATCCATGGAGGAAGTTATTTTGTTGGACAACATGCTGTTAGTCACATTAAATCTGAACACCAGCCCCATGAGACTCTATTAAGTGTGTGCAATGTAGTTTCAACCACTCTCTCTGTCCCAGAAATGTGTCATTCGGAAGTTCTGCTTGGCAGTTCAGGAGGCACGGTGAAGTGACAGTGCTTTCTTCCTCCCAGTTACGATGGAACTGAATTCCAAGACATACTTAGAGAGGTGCTCTACTGCACAGCTAACCTTACAAATGGGGGGTCACTGAACAACTGTATATCTCCTACTCTCATACTCATGTGCAATAAAACATACAGACACACACACATCATCAGTCCAGGTAGGAGAGAAATGGCAATGTTTAAGTTCAATAAAAACCTGCCCCCCCCCAAAAAAAGCGTGTTGCATCGTTATGCAGATTAGCTGAATAATTCAAAAGAGACTGTTAATGAAAGATTAGACCACCTCAGCAAATCCACAGCTCTGTCTACAGGGTTCAATTAAAAACGGATAAAAATCCAGTGACTTTTAAAACAGCCATTTAAGTGGGACTGCATGCATTAATGAAAGATAAATGCTCTTGCCCTGTGTGTACATGTGCAAGGTTTCTGGAGGAATACTAAGTGTAGCTATTGATTAAACTCTTTCCTGGCCCATCCTAAGAGACAAACTACATTGCATACTCTGGTCATTGCCAAGTTTGGCCAATGCAGGTTTTTAATGGATCTGGAAAGAACCACTCACTCCCTCTCTTCTAGTGTCCAAGGAACAAAGACGAATAGCTCTTTTATTGCCCTCCTGGTAACACCTCTGTGCTCAGGTTTTCCTTTTTTTCCCTTCCTCAGTCCTTTTCCATCTTATCTTTGATGAATTAATACCACACTGAATAGCCAAGTCTCACATCTCACCAATTGTTCCCTTTTTAATCAAATGTGATTACAAAAAGCTGCTTCTAAAAAAGGCGAGGAGACATGCTGTGTGTGACTGTCTGTGTGTGCACTCACATGTGTATCTAGCTCTGTAGCTGCTCTGCTCAAATCGGCTGACATTCCATGCAGTTAAGTGACTCTCACCATGACCAGTGCACACGACTGCAGTAGTTCGCATTCACACACAACAACAACAAAAAACTCATTGAGTCCTTCTAGGCTAAATATTTGATCCACTGTTTAATTGATAATAAAATTAAATAAGGAAATAAGTTGCTAATTTAGAGTAAACACGTACCTTTATTACAATGGCCACTGGGAACACTCTATTCACTTTTTTCCTATTTCTGACGATGACTGACAAACGACTGCATTCCAGGTCAAACATGGATATGGCTCAGCGCAGGCCGTAGTCAGTTAGCCAGGCGGAAAATTGGAAAATTTAAGCTACAGTGAATCATTAGCTAAGTCAAACATGAAACAAAAAGCTCTGTCTCCCTGGAGAATTCTTTCCAAAGTCTAATCTCTCATTCAAAGAAAATGATTTCACTCCAGTGGCTTCTCGAAAATATGCTAACCTTATCATAGTTCATGCTAGCAGATAAAACTGACCATCTGCAAATTCACTTGTGCACTTTAGCGTAAAGTAGTCCTTTCTTTATTTTTTATTATCAGCACAGGCACCCAACTATTTTCCCATCAACTTATCCATTTTATACCCACACCTCACCCCTCTTCATTTTTCCTCTCTTCCCCTCTTTCTTGAGCTGCAAACTCTGTAACTAATTGGATCTGGCATGGTCTGTAATGACTTTGCACTCTATGGGGAGCTTTGGGAAAAATCACCCTTCATTTCTTCTGGCATCACTCAAGTGACCACATACTGAACTTGTGCGACATGTACCTCCATCTTGCATCCAAACGGCAAAGACAGCTAAATTTACAGGATACTGCTGATCACAGGTTTGAGGAAATCATATGGATATGTTGCCCCAGAATGTCAGTGTTTGTGTGAATGGATTTATTTTTGTATCTGTGTGTGTATAATACAATCACAGTCAACCTTGAGTGTTTATGCAGCTAGCGTTTTTGGTCAGTAAAGGTAATACACAAGACATATTTTTTTTGCCATCAAGCAATCAAGCAGAGAGCTGGTTCACAGTCACAGACTAATCTTAATGTAACTCAATCTGAGAGACTCCCTGTGTGTCAGTGAGAACAACACAGTTTTTCAGGTCAAGGACTCACTCCATGTGAAATATTTAGCAGTAATAATGATGAATTATTGCAGTGCGTACTGTAGACTCATCTGGTATTATTAAATATATTGATTATGAATTGCTGTTCAACTGTACTCTACATATCTCATATTTTTTGTAGTAACAATATTAGCAACACAAATTGCATCAGATGAGAAATTTCATCATTCTTTGCAAAGAAACTTGGTCGCTTTTAATTCAAGTGCATTTTAGGAGTGAGCTCCAGCTGGCAGATGAGAAGTGGCTCTTCAGTTAACATACAACTTCAGGAGGGAGAAAAAATGCTTGCCAGGGAAAGTAACCAGTAAAGAGAAATTTCTGACTCAACAAACCTTTTCCATCATGCCCGTTGCCTCCAGTCAAATTGAGCTGTCAGAGGCAGTGGAGCTCTAGTCTAAATCCAGCATTGCTTGGCTGTAAGTAACTGAATGGGGCTTGCAAAATCAAGTCCATAGGGCAGGGACAAATTTGTCTGTCACTATCAATTATGCCCAAGTTAAATAATTTTGTCAATACAAGCCTGTTTCCACCTCAGCATGTGTCCTGTACTGAATCACTCATGCTCCCTCTAAGCACCATGGTGTTTGCAAGCCGTTTTCTTTCCTACCTCTTTTTCTCTGCTTCATATCTGCTAAGGAGACGCTGCAGACCACCACACTTGAAGCCCTGGAAGTGGGCTGCAGGGGCACCGACAGTCACAATGTCATAGAATGCATCTGTAAAAACAAAAAATACAGTTTTAAACAGTGAGATGTATACTACAGCATCTCTGAAACATCAGCACTAAAGGACCTTGAGGTGAAAGGAAAGAGATTCAAATAAATCAATTATCCCTCTCAGAGTGTTTTTCCAATTTAAAATGTACTTCAACTGAATTTTGATTTGGAATTCTGCATAATATCATCTACAAAAATACCTCTGGTAAGTCTTATATCAACAGGTACCTGACATGAGGATTAATTCAGTATTTCTGAATATTCCACGCAGCTGTTTCAGGGCTTTAGTTCACATCAAAATGTCACTGTTTTATGGTGAGGATCCTGCAGGGTGTAACCTTTTGTGTCACAGTTCTTATTTTTAAGCCCACAGATACACTATATTTATGCACACAAAGGAGGCATGACATTATTTTACACTCTGCCAGTATATTTATTTTAGGCATACATGTTTCTGGTTGATTTGTTGTGTCTATATTGCTCTATTACTAGTCATCTCTCTCCAACTATCTTTTGTCGTTTTGTCTTATTGTAGCGTTGGTCTCATATTGAAACAGAAGGACGGCCAATGTCATAGCGTTTCATTCCAATTTGCACGCTGCTGTCAAAAGTAAATAAACACTTCACAGACGGCTAGGCATACACAGAGGTGCATTCAACAGGCCTAGTTTTGAATGAGTAATGGATGAGGCTGACAATTAAATCAGAAAAACGGGGAGGAGGGAGATGGGGTGGAAGGGGGTTTATGGGGGTGAATATTTTGGTGTGGTTCAGCGGCAGGTCAGTTAATGAACACTCCCGGGAAAGCAACAGCGCACGGCTCCGACCATCGGAAAACACTGCTTGAAAAATGGTTGAAAATAGAAATTAATGACACAACACAGCTCCAAGTCGCCACAGAGATGTGAATGACAGTGGGCCAACAGCCCTCGGTCCCCTAACAACACCACAATAGACCAATAGTGGTTTGATGTGGGAGCTTCGCTACTACCCACTGCTTCTTCCATTAATTATCCTTGTGCCTGGCCATGAGGCTCCCTGACCACCACACGTCTGGCCCCTGGAGTTTTCAGATGTCCAAGTTCCCTTAATTGGTTCTCCCAATGCAGGAGTACACTGAAATACAATGGTGAGTTTCAGAACATCAAGCACAATGACCAATTTGTGCTTGATTTGCCTGCTCTTCCTCTCACACCATCCTTTTCGCAATAAATCAACAACAGAACAGGCTATTTAAGTAGTGTGAGGACAGTTGCTTTTTAAAAGAGAAAATTGATCATGGCAGTCAGGATGAATGTTATACTGTAATTCATACTTAACCCATTCCACAATCTTGTTTAACAATGACAAAACATCATTTTATTTGACCAAAATGAGTGCTGAACAATGCTTTCAGTTCAGCTTTCCCAAATTGAGCTTTTTAGGCTGGAAATGTTTTGTTGTTGTCATTTTGGAGACAGAAGACAGCCATTCCCAGCAAAACAAATGAATACAGTTTTGAGCTAGAAGAGCCCCCCCTCAATTTCCTTTTCTTGCTGGATGACAAATAGACAAAATGAAAATGAATGGGTTAGTGTCGTTGAGTGGATTGCATAGCCAAGCTCAATGGAATGCATCACTTCAGAAAATCAAATGGAACAATAGAGAAATTGACTACGGTTGGAAACTCAGACTCAGCTCCATTACGGAGCAGGTTCCAGTGTTTCTTGTGCCTGACTGATTGCAATCATTTATTCCATGTGCTTTCCTTTTTCAATCGAACAAAATGTGCAATGTAATAGTAATTCACTATCAAACAAGGTAATTACAGTAAATTAAAAGTTGAAGGGAGCCTGACATTCAGACTGAATGGCCATTTTGTAGCAACCTTCTTGTGGTTTTCAGTGTGGGGAGGCTTTCATTTTTGCCAAACCAATTACGTCAGATGGCCTTGTTCAGTCAATTCTAAAGCTGCATTAGCTGGCTTCATAGTAACTTTTATAATATTGAAGATACACACTCAGTTGCCAGTTTAGTGAGTACACCCAGCTAAAATTTTGAACACTGTTTTAGAGAGGTGTTGATTCACTTGTTATGTATTATAAATTATGTAAATGGGGCGGATGAAATAATATGAAAACCTTGCAGGGCTGTTGTATTAGACTGCATAAGATCATTTAGGTATACATAATAAACTGGCAACTGAGTGTATGTTGTTTTTGACAACACAGTTCCATCACTAAATTAGCAAAGATACAGGCTTGGACATGTGGTGCAGGAGCAAAACATTTGTCAGGAACTCTGGTTATTCCAAAGAACACAATATGCAGTGTTTGCAAATGTGAGGCCAGTGAGGGATCATGTCCTTTTTACTGCAGACAAGACTCATACCGGTTGGTCATGGCATCTACACAGAGGGGATAGGATCTGGGGGTCTAAACATCTGTTCGTTGCACCTGTTCCATCATCTTACCAATACTAGACAGTGTCAGGTTTTGTGATTGCCATGACAAACACAATTTCATGAGTGCCAGTGTTGCCATTGTCATTTTTTCATATAGCTCATATCAAAAACATCTGGGAACCAGTTGTTAAATTGTCAAAAGTGCATTTCATTTGTGTGCATGTGTTTATTATTATTTTTTGTATACATTTTTGTCTTTACTGGATAAATCACAGTTAAGATAGAGACAGGTAAGAAGGGCACACAGAGATAAAAGTGTAAATGACATGCAAACTGTCAAATGGGGACATTGTGCTTATACGCAATGTGTGTCTCTACCATTATGCCACCTATATGCCCCCGTGTGTTTCTACTTTTCTACTGTTAGTAAGATGTTTGTTTAAAAATCTTCTTTTCATGTCTTTCTGCCACAGCACTACCTTTAAACACCCTGCACCAATAATTTTGATTGACTTATTAATTAACATCATTAAGCCAATGGGAGCTGAGGCCCCATCCACACTACTACGTTTTAGTTTACCAACGGAGAATTAAAACGAATACGATCTCCGTCCACACCAGCGTTTCCGCTGCGTTTTGGAGTTGATCTCCGTCTACATTAAAACGACTGAAAACGCACAGCTAGGACCCGTTCAGGTACACTGGGCATGCGCGTGCCAGTGTAAACATGAAGCAGATGGTCTATTCCATAGTTACAGAAGATTTGGCGAAAGAATAAATAAATACAGACTAAGCATCAGACCAGTTTTTTTGTTGCATGGATCAATAACGAGCTGGGACCATTACTGAGTGTAACACGGGAGTGTGGCGTCAGAAAACAGACTGGGAGTTGTTGCAAAGTAAACGGCGACATTCACAGTACAAGTGTAGGCAGATGAGTGTTATTTGCATGGTACAGAATATTTTAATAAAAATATGATGTCAAAAACCCGGTCAGCAGCATTGTGTTTCTGCTTTGCAAGACCCAATCAGAGAGCCTAAAGTCCTCCGTTTTGGCCCGTCTTCACTAAAATGCCCTCCAGCGTTTCCAAACTTCTCCGCTTTAGGTCTTCGTTTTCATCGTTGTAGTCTGGACGGGAGGTGCAAACGTAGCAAAAGGTCCTATTGTAGTGTACATAGTGGAGTGTTCACACACAGATACGCCAGCTAATGCACCACTGCCTGGAACTGAGTCAAGGTGTGAACTGGGCCCACAGGGGGTAATTATCAGAGTGTCTATCAATCACTTGACAAACTCCTCTAAGGCTTGTTTTATCTTGATTTTTCCACTTTTCCTGCCTTGGCAGTGCAAGACAGTTGCAGGGTTGTATGATGATGATTTTACCTATTCTATCTGTCATCCCTGATGTCTTCATTGAAAGAACCACAGTTTATGTCAAGGTTTGCCTCTCTTCAACTTTCCATCAATCACCGAGTGTATAGTTGAAATGGAGCCCACTCACAGAAAGAGAGGCAGCAGTTAGTCGCCTTAATACACTGAGACAGTTCCAGGCCAATAACAGGCTCTGCCAGCTAGAGAGCAGCGGTGGAGGAGACAGCCTTGTCCTTCTCTCCAGAAATACGCAAAGGGCTTAATTAGAGTTTTGTCTATCTTTCTCTGGCCAAGTTAATTCTCACCTTTCAGCCTGGGTGATGACCTAGAACCACCTTGTCTGAGCCCTCTGAGTATCTCTGACAGATGCAGAAGTCAGGCATAGAAAGTCAATAGTAGGTGACAACGACAGCAGCTTATGGAAATGTGTTTCACATGAAACCAACTTTGCACAATACTTGCTTTTTCTGTTCAATAGTTTTAGGTAATGAAGTTACTTTTGAGGTTTGTAAAACATTTTAAAGGAACTATAAATTGATATTTTATATTAATAATGTATGAAATAATAATATCACCTAAATCTGCAGCTCCCCTCGGCTTTACACAGTAGTGAGTTTAAGCTGTTCTCAGTGAAAAAGCTCTAAAACCCACTGCACACTACCTGCTCAGCACCAAATGGCAGACAGACACAGTTAGCATTTAGCAGCTACAGAGCCAGATACCAAAAACAGAGCTAAAAGAGTGTGAATCTTGGAATTACATTCATTATGTGGCAATGGTGGAATTTACTCAACATTTACTCAAGCATTGTACTTAAGTACACATTCAAGGTACTTGTCTGAAATATTGCACTTATTACAATTAGTTACTGGTTACTTTTTTCACACACACACAAAAAAAAATCAGTTTAAGTATGAGGTAGCTCTAACACAAGTCTAAGGCATAGACTTGTGTAATACCTGTTTTTCTGGGACACGTCACCCTCATCCTCTGGGTGTGTAAGTTTATCGGGATGAACTCCAGAGATTTCTGGGCTTTGCAGCAGCTTGGCTTGAATGAGCAACCTGGAAAAAAAAAACAGAGACACAAGTAAAAAACATTCCCTATGAAAGCCCCTTGTGTTATAGAAAGCGCCTTACCATCTGCTACAGCTATACTATGATCTTTCCAACATGACTGCTTTTGATAGCTTTTCTTTTTATTTCCTTGTTCATGTCCTTATGAGGGACACAGAAACATATTAGTAAACTGAATTGAAGTTCAAATGTCCTCTTTGATTTTGCAATGAAAAGAAAACCCTTGTACAATTGAATGACAATCTAGAGAGATCTATTTAATGAACAACTGCATGACAAAGGGGAATACATAGCACCAAATTAAAATACATTTAAATTAGAGGTTATATGAGTAGTTGCAGTGCAGATTCAAATACACATACTAAGGGTGTGGAGGTTTTCACAATTTAATTCCCACAATATTCATTTACATTTACGTTTACTCATTTGGCAGACGCTTTTATCCAAAGCGAGTTACATTTTTTGAGGAACAACATACAAGCAGCAACAGAGCATCAAATACAGATCTACAACTGACAATACATACTAGTAAGAGCAGCAATAAATACTAGTAAGAGCTCACAGTACATATCACATCAATGGGGTAAATACCTAGGGAAGGAAGTAAGAGTTAACAAAAAGTGCAATCAAAACAAAAAAGTGCAATCAATACAAGATCATTGTAGGGGATAGAAGAAGAAGAGCACAGGACGTGCATGTTAGAGGTTAGGAGTTAGAGGTGTTATAAGAGGAAGTGTTCTCGGAAGAGATGAGTTTTCAAGAGCTTCTTGAAGTTAGAGAGGGACGCCCCTGCTCTGATGGCGTGTGGTAGCTCGTTCCACCGTCTGGGATTGCTTTGTGTGAAGGGATGGCAGAGCCAGACGGCGTTCGTTGGAGGAGCGTAGCGGCCGAGAATGAACGTAAGTTTGTATTATGGAGTTTAGGTAGATGGGTGCAGACCCAGTAGTCACTCTGTATGCAAGCATTAGTGATTTGAATTTCATTCTGGAGGCCACAAGGAGCCAGTGGAGGTCACTGAGTGATATGAGTCCTTTTGAGCTAATCAAAAACCAGACGCACTGCTGCGTTCTGAACCATTTGTAAGGGTTTCACTGCACAAGCTGGTAGACCTGCTAGGAGGACATTGCAATAGCAATAGTTGGTAAGTAAAATGGTGACTAAGAATGCTGAATTCGGACAACAATTTTCATTCATCTTTAATGAGTAGTCACTTAGGTATACTTTCAGAATGAAAGTTTCAAATGAGTAAAATCCAATTTAACCAACCATTTTCAGATAGAAGGCATCTCTGTAACATAAATCCTCACATATTACACAAGCACTATTTAAAACAGTAAGCTACAGGTTATTTTTGATTGGGATTGGGTTATGATTAAAATGATGTTAAACCCCCATACCATTCCCCTTTTAAATGCCCATGCTAGATCATTTAACACATCTAGGTATATCAGACAGAGAATGTATCAATTACAGATCAACAAGAATCTCGAAAGTTGCTCATTTTCAATCAACTGCTTATAACATCCTCTAATGTGCAGCGTAATCCTTTAAGCACAGGATTTTATGCCCTTTGCAGCCGCTACTTTGCACAAAACGTCCAATTAAAATTTTCTGTCAAACGATACTCTTTGTTTGTGGCTTATATTTAAGCTCAATATCACAATCTGACACTGCATGTTGGCTGCTCAAATCTCAAATATGTAAATAGGGTTGATGAGCCTCTTTGACGCAGACGAGGCTAAGCTTTCAAGAACAATCACGCAACAGAGGTAATTTATAAGTGATGTTTGCCAGTAGAGGTAAATAACTTAAAATTAAGCTATTCTGAACAGGTACAGAAGACCAAAAAGGGGAACAAACATTCTCATATCACAAAGTTTCATAATCTAATTTAGCATCAAAACCTTTAATTAAATCCTCTTTTAAGACACATGACTTTGAATTCCCTTTTGTACATTATTAAGCTTGAGTTAGAAAACCAGTAAAGACTCTTCTATTACAAGGGACACATTTTACAGCTTGTATTAGGCTACTTATTTCATTGTAAAGGTCAAAAAGAACATTGATGGTATGTGTTGAACATGTTGATGTGATTCATTAGTCCAAACTGTAATATAACAACTACTGTAAACTAGAGCCATGGAAGTGTGTGAATATGCAAATACATGTGCTTGGGGAGCTGAATCTATTAATCTTCGTTATAACTGAACTATTTTTTTACATGTACTGGGCTTATTAGACAAGTTTTACTAGCTAGTAGAGCACTGCATAAACTTTAGCATTTTTCTATATTTTTACAGCATCACAATGGTAATCTACAAGGTTGTCTTTTCTTTGTTTTAGACAGTATCTTTTGTGATATGTAGCTGGCTGTGCTGTGATCACAGAGATCATTTGACACACACCATTGTTGCCATTGGGGTGACGCCTTTTCCGTTAATTGTATGTAGATAAAGGTACAATTGTTGTTGGCAATGGTCTTCTGGTGTTTCATCTTATCATGATATCCACCCATTTTTCTCTTCTTTTTTTTCATACAACATGTTTATGCTGATGTGGGAAACAAAACTTTCGTTTGAGGAAGTGATTATTCCCCTAAGGAACGACCTACCAAGGAAGATGATGACAGTTATATCAATTAGTAATAGAGCAGAAAAATAAATATTTACGCATTAATATTAATGTAAATGAAGAGATAATTATTATATATGCGTGAGTAACTGTAGAGATAGCTTTTTGGTTGTATATGTATCTCAAAATTCAGCATCCTAATTGACTGTATTGTCATCTACAGCAACACCAAATAGTCCTATATAACTGAGTGGAATTCTACTACTGTTTCCAAATACTATGACTGACAATATTGTAATGAACTGTTCTTATGTCACTGAGTGACATATGTAATCCATGTTAGAGTGGTGGTATAGTATAGTAAGATGCTACAGAGTGTGTTCCTTGTGCTGCAGCTCATAATGCATGTTAATTGGAGAATAATTAATAAGACAAAGTATCCACACTTTCCAGCTCTTCTAGCTGACATGTTTCATAACTCTACTTTGTGTTGAGAAGAACTAAACTAAGCTGTACACACTCTTTTCCGTCCTGTTCATTAATTACTCTCGAGGCAACAGACCAGTATGTACCAATCAAAGCTGAAGCGATACAAAAGATCTGTTTACACAGAAGCTAGGTGAGAAAAGCTGTTACCTGCCACAGATTTTAACACCATTTGGCAGGTTGGCCAAACATGAAAACAAATGTGCTGCACCTCCATTACTGTATATAATGCTGAAACTAATGATCCACTCAAGCTGAAATGTGTTACCTCAGAAATGGATAACACTTTTGACTCAGCTGGAGCTGACACTGACGTGGCTTATTATTTTCAAGCACTATGAAAAAATCAATGTTTTCTTCCTAAAGTAGTAACTGTTTTGCTGTACTTGTCAAAGTGCAAATGTAAACAGATTTCTAAGCACTGAATATACAATCTGTCGGCTAAATATAGTGAAGACTGAAACATAAGCTCCATATGCAATAAGTGCTGTATTTATCAAGCAGATGCACAAGCCTGGAGTTTGTGTTTGCATGGTGCGATTGTCTCCTTACTGTATAAGCATTAAAAGAAGGATCTTGAAAATGATAGGAGACATGTTAACGGAGGTTGATTACGTATTCGACTGGATTTACTGTCAAGTAATTTGATGCTGTCAGTTTTGTGGGGAAAGCTTTCCGCCTCTGAAAAGGAGGCGTAAAAACATGGCGTAGATGGATTTACAAGAGCCACAAGGAAGGTACTAGTAAGAAAATAAATGTCCACTGAATACAGGCTTGTATAAACAGTAACAAAAATATATTATTAGAAACAGAAATTACACAATTACACAATATCTGATTACTTTAAAGGAAAAGATTAGTGGACAATGGTGCTTTGAGCTAAATGCTAATAGCACGCTAACACAGTGACAATGCTAACATGTTGATGTTTAGCAGGTAATATTTACCAGATTCACCATCTTAGGCCCCATCCACACAACTGCATTTTAGAATTAAAACGGAGACCTTTTGCTACATTTGCACCCCCCGTCCAGACTAAAACGGCGAAAATGAAGACCTAAAATGGAGAGGTTTGGAAATGCTGCTGACCCCGTTTTGCGTTTCAAAACTCCGGAGGGCGTTTTAGTGTAGACGGGGTAAAAACGAAGGACTTAAAAACCCCACGAAGGACGAAGACGCTCACGCTCGGCTCTCTCTCACAGTGCTACTGACGGAGTTTTTGAGTTGGTATTTTTATTAAAATATTCTGTACCGTGCAAATAACATCTTATCTGCCTACACTTGTACTGTGCATGTCGCCGTTTACTTTGTGACGACTCCTGTCTGTTTTCTCCCGCCACACTCCTGTTAGATTCAGCTCATTCAGCTTGTTATTGGTGCATGCAAAAAAAAAATCTGGTCTGGTCTTTCGCAAAGTCTTCTGTAACTACGTTAGAAGAAGAAGAAGGTGATATACTTTATTTAATCCTGCGAGGGGAAACTCAGTGTTTTCTGTTATTATGTTAGTATTTACACACAGGTCCGAAAGACACATACATGCACAAACAGGACCCATAGCAACACACAGATAGATGCCCGAGCTGTTAGGGGCTTGCTCAAGGCCTCCTTCACCAGGAGGTGAACTGGCACCTCTCTAGCTACCAGTCCACGCTCCACAACTCTGGTCCGAGCTGGCTTCCAACCGGCAACCCTCCGGTTCCCAGCGTTATCCTTATGGACTGAGCTACTGCCGCCCCAAAAAAGCATCTGCTTCATGTTTACACAAGCACTCGCATGCCCAGTTTATCTGAACGGCCACTAGATGTGCGTTTTTAGTTGTTTTAATGTAGACGGAGATCAACTCTAAAGCACAGCTAAAACGCTGGTGTGGACGGAGATTGTATTCGTTTTAATTCTCCGTTTGTAAACTAAAACGGAGTAGTGTGGATGAA